TTTATTATTATTATTTTTTTTTTTAAAGGAGTACAGCTGGGCGGCTATAGTCCCAGTTTTTAATTCTTTTAAAAAGACGTGTGTTGACATGTGGCGGTTAAACCCTAAACCCTAAAGAATAGTATAGCCGGGCGGCTGTACTTATTTTTGACACGTGGCTTTAATTGACAGAGGTTCTCCTTTATTAAAAAAAGAAAAAAAGGCGTACGGCCGCACAGCTATACTCCGCGTTTTTAATTTTGTTGAAAACACGTGGCGTCTAATGGGTGGGGGTCCTCTTTTTTATATTAAAAAATAGTATAGCCGAACGGCTAGACTTTGTTTTTAAAATTTTTTAAAAGGTATAACCGCACGGCGATACTATTTTCACACATTGGGCTGCTCTGTTTTTTCTTTTTTTTTTGTTGTTTTAAAATTGTCTTTATTAATAAATACTATAGACGAGCGGCTATAGTCTTTTACATATATATATATATATATGTACATAATTCACATATTACACATAATTCACATATTAAAAAGACATGTGTTGACATGTGGCGGTTAATGAACGGGGGATCGTCTTTTTAATATTAAAGAATAGTATAGCCGGTCGGCTATACTTATTTTAGACACATGGCTTTAATCGACAGAGGTTCTCCTTTATTAAAAAATATAAAAAAGGAGTACGGCCGCACGGCTATACTCCGTGTTTTTAATTTTGTTGAAAACACGAGGCGGCTAATGGGTGGGGGTCCTCGTTTTTATATTAAAAAATAGTATAGCCGAACGGCGATATTTTAAATTTTTTTAAATTTTAAAAAACGTATAGCCGCATGGCTATACTATTTTGACACATCTCACATTTTAATATAACTTTAAATATTTATAGAGAACAATACATTGCTGCTGACCATATGGCACGTATGGGTCAAAGTTCCAATTTGGGTTATCATGTTGTTGATCTTCCCCCTCCTTCTATTGTAAGCCTCTTGGCAAATGACTCTGTTAGAGCACTTCCACCAGTTAGCCCCTTGCCATGGCAAGGGGAGCCCTAGGGCAGTTACTATTCACGTGAATAGTGGCTGCCCTAGCTCCCCCCAGCAAATGTGTGTTTCCAGCAGTTAGCCCCTTGCCATGGCAAATACTATTCATTTTTTTGTTTTTTTCACAACTTTGTTTATTTAAACAATTAATTTGGATAATATTTTCGGATAAGATTTTTGGGTTCCTACGTGTCAATACTATTCATATCGGATAAGATTTTCGGTTTCAAATTTCAGATAAATTTCAGATAAATTTCAAATTTCAAATACATTTCAAAATTCAAATTTGAGATAAATTCAAAATTTGAATTTCAGATACATTTCGAAATTCAAATTCCAGATAAATTACCAATTCCAAATTTCATTTGAATTTCAAATTTCAAATAAGATTTTCATCCTCTAAAATTGCGCCACGTGTCATCTCTATCTGTCTAAATTTTTCTATAAAACCAGAGGCTCAGCTCATACCTCCCACACCATATCTTCTCTGCATCTTCATTTCTCATATTTTAGATTTCATTTCTCAGATTTTAGATTTCATTCTCCATTCTCAATGTCAGACATGGAAGATGTTTTGGATAGGCAAGAGCGAGAAAGGCGAGCAAGAATGCGCAGAAGAGCTGCAAGCAAAAGGGCGCAGAGAGAACTAGATGAGCAACTTGGTGTGGCCGTTGCTTTGATGGAGGAAGAAAACCAGAGCCGTCGTGGTTCACGAGAAGGCCGGGCATCGAATGTGGACAGACATAGACATTCTCGGGGTAAGAATCTTCTGGAAGATTATTTTATCCCACAATCTCTGTACTCTGATGTTCATTTTCGAGCAAGATATAGAATGCAACCCCATTTGTTCAATAAAGTCATGCATGATATTTGCAATTATGATGACTACTTTGTTCAAAAGAAAAATTGTGCTGGAGATTTGGGGCTGCTTCCCGAGCAAAAGTTCACAGCTGTGATACGAATGTTGGCGTATGGGTCATCTGCTGATCAGGTGGATGAGATTGCCCGGATGGGGAAGTCCACTATTTTGGAGAGCTTGGTGCGATTTTGTGATGCAGTGGAAAATCTGTACACCATGGACTACCTGCGCAGACCTACGCCCAGGGACCTGCAACGGCTTCTACAAAAAGCTGAGTCTCGTGGATTTCCTGGAATGATTGGTAGCATTGACTGCATGCACTGGCAATGGAAAAATTGTCCATCTGCTTGGCAAGGGGATTATGGTAATCGGAAAGGGCAGAAAAGCATCATCCTCGAAGCAGTTGCTGGTTTTGATACCTGGGTTTGGCACGCCTTCTTTGGAGTTGCCGGCTCTCAAAATGATTTGAACGTCCTGGGTCAATCCCCGGTGTTCAATGATATTTTGAGAGGTGAATGCCCAAATATCACATATCAAGTCAATAATACCGTGTATCAGAACGGGTATTATCTAGCTGATGGTATCTACCCGAGATGGACAACATTTGTGAAATCAATTCCACATCCCCGATCCGAGAAGGAAAAATTTTTTGCTGCCTATCAAGAGGGGTACAGAAAAGATGTGGAGAGGTGCTTTGGTATCCTTCAAGCTCGGTGGGCTATTATCAGGGGCGCGGCGCGTCTATTTGACGAGGAGGTGCTCAGAAGTATAATGATGACTTGTATCATCCTCCACAACATGATTGTGGAAGATGAGTACGATTATGATGTTGATGAATTGTATGAGCCAGATCCCATGAACACGACCTTAACACGAATTTATGAAAAACCTATGGGGCCAAATGGAGAACCAGTGCAGCATGATCCGTTAGTTAGAGACGGTACTTTCATGCATCGTATGATTGAGCGCTACACGGAGATGCAATCGTCGTATATTCATGAACACCGTCAAGTTGATTTGATGGAGCATTTGTGGGCGGTGAAAGGCAATGAAGATCAATGAAGTCAAGTGAAGAAGTTAAGTGAAGAAGTCAAGTGAAGAAGTTTATTTTTTATGCTTTGGTTGTGGTTTGTTTATTTTTTATGCTTTGGTTGTGGTTTGTTTATTTTTTATGTTTTGGTTGTGGTTTGTTTATTTTTTATGCTTTGGTTGTGGTTTGTTTATTTTTTATGTTTTGGTTGTGGTTTGCTTTTTATGTATGGAATGTTTTGAATAAAAAGGAATTTTGTTGAATATTTTCTTCATTCACTACAAGAAAATCAATACAACTCATAAAATAAAATACATGAATTACCACTAATTTTTAAAATTACAATGAAATGAAAGGCAAGCAAACTAATTTAATGGTACAATGAAATGAAAGGCAAACAAACTAATTTAATGGTACAATGAAATGAAAGGCAAGCAAACTAACTTAATTGTTTTGATCATTTAACCAATCCGTGTTGCTAGGTCCATCGTCACGAAAAAGTCTTCGTCTCATAACATCCCTTCGTTCTAGCTTCCAATATTGTTTTGTTTCAGGGGACATATGGGTTGTATCCATGGCCATTGTTTCCCGATCCTTATTTTCAATCTTTTCTTGCCGTGCATACTCCCTTTCTTGGCGTGCATACTCCCTTTGTTGGCGTACATACTCCCTTTCTTTTGCATTTTCTACATCAATTGCCCTATCGTGCTCTTGTTGTTTCATGTCCATTTCAATTCTCATGGCTTGCATCCTTGAAAGTTCCTCCAAAAATTTAGATGATGACTTGGTAGAATTACTCCCTCTCTTCGCCTTCGCCGCCTTCCTCCCAATAGGCCTCGGCTCCTTTTCGATAGGTGAGTCTTGACTCATCGGGGAATCCATAGGTGAATCCGATGCCGGTGTCTCATGGAGTGGCGTCTCGTTCAAGACTACCGTCGGACCCGTTGGAATAATTTGGAATTTCTTACAATTCTTCACCACCTCCCAACAATGGGTATGGTTGAAGCTTTTTTTTCCTTGCCCAGTAGCACCAAAAAACATTTGTGCTTGTATAGTCTATAAAAAAAAATGGGAATGCAAGAAACTTTAAAAATTATTGGCAATTCAACAAGTATAAAAAAATAATAATGGAAATACAAGAAACCTTAACAATTTATTAGAAATGAAAAACAAAATTTAAATATTGCAACAAACATTCATATTAATATTGGAAATACAAGAAATATTAACAAAATATATAAATTGCAAGAAATATTTAAATTAACTTTAATATGACATAGAAATTAATAAAACAAAAATTACAAATAATTTACCTCACTGGTAAGGTTTTCCCCGCTTCTATGGTTGTCCATCGCCTTTGCCAAGGCATCCCTCCATTTCGCCAACTCTTTGTTAAGAATTTTCCACCTACTAGATAGTGCTTGATCTGTACGGGTCGTACCAATTACCCTTTCACAAAAATCCTGATGAATTTTTTTCCACATATGACAGAATTTCATCTCATTGCCCGTTACGGGACAATGACTAATGTGGAGCCAAGACTCACACAAGCTAACATCTTCCATGACACTCCATGCCCCTCCGGTTTCACTAGAAGAACCCATAAATTTTTCTAGAAAAATTCAACTTCAAAGTGAAAAAAATTTAGACTAGAAAGTGAATAATGGTAGAATGAGAAGAAAATGTATGAAGAGGTGGTGTTAAAAGTGAAGAGTATTTGTTGGTATTTATAGGAAAAAACATCAGTATTTTTTTGGGTATTTTTTCAAATTTTTTCCTATTTTTTTTTCATTTTTTTTCATTATTTTTTGGCCAGATTGAACAGCTGCCGTTGGATTGCTGGAAGAACTTCATCGGAGCGCCCAGAGCATCGTCACGTGGAAAAGAGCCGTTGGGTGCAACTTCCGATTTTTTTTTTCATTTTTTTATTCACGAAAAATGAGAAGCGTTGGATTTTGAATAAAGGTGATCGGACAGCTTCAGTGCGCGCCACGTGGAATAGATCCGTTGGCGGGGCACTGTAGCGGGTGCGTCAATTTTTTTTTAAGGTTGGCGCGTGCGTTGCACGCGCCAACGTTAAAAAAATTTAAACAGCTGCGCTGACGTCGGCCCAAAACTCGTTTTGCTGCTCGGGCTGCAGTGGCGGACCTACAGAGGCGCAAGGAAGTGCAGCTGCACCTCCCCTCGCCAGAAAAAGCTTTGGAGTCGCCGGAAGTTGCCCCTTTGGTCTGCCTTGAAGTTGCCCACCAAGTGTTTGATTAAATGACTGAGCAACCTGTTCTTTTCTGTTCTTTGCTGTGCTGCTGAGCGCAGCGCGCATCTGTTTTATTTTTTTTCAAAATCTTGGCCAAAACGTGGTCGTTTTGGGCTAGGGAAAAAAAGGGATGAAGAAGAAGAACAAGGGCTGTGGTTTTCTGTGGGGCTGTGGGTGGGCATGTTTTCCCTGTGGCCCACGGGGCTTGTGTAGTTCGTCAACCTGGTCAATTTCATGTCAGTCCGACACCTATGCCATCGGCAGTCCCCACAAACCACAATTCATTAATTTGTTCCCTCTCTCTATCCATCTATATTTGTTAATAACTTGAAATTTAAATTTTCAATTGGCTCCCATATGAATTAACCAAGAGATGTTTGGAGTGGTGGAGTGCATCCATATGAACTGAAGAAGATTATGCAGAATTTAGACACCATGGAAAATTGACATGAGAAATTGAATATTAATTTTTCCAGTATTTATATAATTGAATATTAATTTTGAATGAAGAAGAACATTCATTATGAGTCATGATGAAGGAAAATCTTGTTTAGCTTTATTTGAGTGAACTATACTTTTTTTAAAATGACTATACACTGGCCAAAACATTGCACCTCCTCTAAAAAATTCCTGGGTCCGCCAGTGTCGGGCTGAACCTCCCCGAGGGCTAGCCTAGGCAAATTTTTTTTGCTGGGGCCCACACCTTGCCCTGGCAGCTTGTGTTGTTGCTGGAAACACTTATTTTCCCCCCCCCCCCCCCCCCCCCCCCCCCCCCCCCCCCCCGCTGCTGCTGGAAATGCTCTTAGGATGACCACTGGTAGGCTTGTCCCAGTGTAGTTTTCTTTTTGGTTTTCTCTTGGGCTTCAGCCCTCCTTGTAACCGAAAAAAATATATATAACTTTAAATATCATATGAGTATTTCAAAATACTTTTAATCTGTTATTTTACTTATTGAAACTAAAGTTTTAAATGTTTTATAAACGGAATGGCCACAACAGCCTTTGAGTTGGAAATTCAAATACGGCAATTTGATTTTTTTGATAAAAGGCGACAAAAATTTATTAGATAAACGGGAAAAAAGAGAATAAAGAACAAAGATTGTGAAGGAATTCATCTTATTAGCAGTATGCGGACATGGGTAAAATTGAAATTGGTATTTAGGTGAATATGTTTTAAACTAAGACCAACTAGACATATCTTAAGAGAAAATAAATCGTTGTACCAAGCTACAACCAGTCATAGACTCAAGAAGATTGCTACAACAATAACCAGATCTGCAGCCAAACAACCAATTTAACCTATAAGCCTATAAGAATTCTAAGTGACAACCTAGACACTCAGAAGAATTTGTCAATCTAGGACTCCCCAATGCTAGCAACAACTGATCAAGGTGTGTGCATCCATTCAAGCATTTCACAAGCAACCAGAATGATAAGCAGAATGACTTAATGAAAGTATGCAGATCAAGAACACACAAGCTCAACATCAGAATATGTTCATTTACAAATCCACCACTGGAAAAAATTATGGTCGTCATTTTGACCAGGCAATCCACTAAGCACAAGAAGATTCTTACAAAGATTAGAACTCTCGAGTTTTGTTGAAAGATTAAAACTCTATTTGATCAATAAAATTGTTTCTTTTATCAAAGAAAGACTCACTTGAAAAATCAAACATTGCTATATATAAAGATCGATCTTGGCCAATTGCTTTTTTCCTTGACAATAATATTCAAATTATTCCCTCGTACATAGAATATAGAAATTTATTTGCTCTTTCTTTTATCAAAGAAAGACTCGAACAAATTGCTAACAATTGAAGAATCAATAACAAGCATAATCAGTGCCAGCAACATTGGCAATGCATTCATGTCCAGCATCATTGTGTTTGTTCCAACACTTCTGCCCAGAGTACAACTGCTCTTGGCATCTATTTTGTGCATAAGCTTGAGGCACGTTTTTGGTGATTCAAAGCAACTGCAAAATCATCATGAATTTTAAATAAAGTGAATGGTTATGGCCAAGAATTTAGGCCTTGTTTGATAAACAGGATTAGGACATTATTGGGCTATTTAGCACCAATCATGTCTTTAACAAAACAAGGGCTTAATTAAGACCTGGACTAATTTTGGTCCACTTGAAATCAGGGGCTTAATTAAGCCAAGTCCAAACCCATGTTATTGGTAGTCTTTGATTTTTTTTTAAAGTTTAATGATAGTAGTAGTGCAACAAGGTCGAGCAATTGGTACTCATTCTGTCTAATTCAAGGAGAATAAAAGTAATATATAACAAAGCAAATAATGGAAGCTGTAATTCCTGAAGTTTATTAATTCATTATTATTATTATTATTATTATTATTAAACAAACATCCAGGACATTCTTTTGGCAATAGCACATTATTACCCCTAGAGGGAAAGCAGTTCCACAGAGACAACTGCAAATAAATTAATGATGGCATTTAGGCTCGAAGGCAAATGGGCCAACAGAGTAGAGGAAAAATGGGAGTTCTCCGAAGACAAATGGCTTCTCTGGCTTCAAGATGGCACCCCTCAGACCACCCTGGAAATCAGACGGGTTAGAGCACGAGGCAGATGGTGACGAGACAAGCGAGACCTTGCACTTGTGGGCCCCATGGGAGGTTATGTGCTTGGGTGCCGTGATGAAGAAGTAACCCTTCTTGTCTGTCTTGGCTTTGACCACTAGTGGCTTCTTAGTGTCGTTGCACTGCAGCTTCACAGTAGCCCCTGCAATTGGGTTTAAATTTGTTAATTTTTAGAAGTTTATAAATATAAAAGGTAGACGAATAAATTTGGATGACTAACCTTGAAGTGGTGAGGCACCCAAGAGGGTATCAACCTTAGAGTACTTGCAGGATTTGCAATAGACAACGCCTTGAACCGCTACAAAGCTCTTTGGTGGGGATTGTGGAGGGTGAACCGGGGGGTGGCTTGGACTGGGGGATGGTGAATGGTGAGTGGGAGGGTGGCTAGGGGGTTGAACCGGGGCGTGGCTAGGTGGCTGAACCGGTGTGTGGCTGGGAGGGTGACCGTGGTGGTGGTGGTGACTTGGTGAGTGAGCCGGTGCGTGGCTTGGAGGGTGAATCGGTGAATGGCTAGGAGGGTGAACCGGTGATTGGCTTGGTGGGTGAACTGGAGCGTGGCTGGGAGGATGACCATGGTGGTGGTGGTGGTGGTGAGTTGGTGACTGAGCCGGTGCATGGCTTGGAGGATGAACCGGTGAATGGCTAGGAGGGTGAACCGGTGAATGGCTTGGTGGATGAACCGGTGAATGGCTATGAGGGTGAACTGGCGCATGGCTGGGAGGGTGGCCGTGGTGGTGGTGGTGGTGATGGTGGTGACTTGGTGAGTGAGCCGGTGCATGGCTTGGTGCATGAGAATTGGGTGCCAAAGACTCAATTTCTTTACCAAGCACAATGAAGCAGCTCAGTAGAAGCACTGAGAGCTGCACAAGCACTAGACCTTCTGCTTGAACGAATCCCATATTTTCTCTTCTTTTTCTCTCTCTAGCCTTTCTTCAGTCTGGAGAGAGAGAGAGAGAAAGAGAGATGTAGGAGGGATTGACGTGAAGGGTAAAATTATCATTCATGAGGGGGGGGGGGGGGGGGGGGGGGGGGGGGGGGGGGGGGGAAAGGAATGATAAAAGCAACTAAATCACTGACTCTTGATTTGTGGGAATTTGAAGTGATTATAGGATGCAAAAATCTGTCAAGGAGCTCCATAATTTTTGCAATTATTCATTGAAATTCTAAATCTGTTTTGTTTAAATCAGACATGCATCTTGATTGATTTATCAGTGATTATGGGATGTGAAAAAGGTATTTGGTTTGATATATTTTTTTAAATACCCAGTAATCCACCAATCCGCTTTGAAAACAAGGCCCAATTTAGGATATGAAGGCTCTTTGCTCCTTCTGTGATGAAGTTCAAGTTAGGCATATTATCGGGAAGTCAATTTCATGGCGGATTCTGTGGCTAGTTGCAAACTCATTTTATTTTGATCTGGGGCCTCCGTGCCCGAGAGGATTTCTCTGGTAATTTCCTTTTTCGTATAAATTAAAAAAATATAAAAAAAACTGAGGCCCAATTAAAAATTATGCCTGATTATTAGGGCATTAAGCCTAAGTTAATTAAGCCCTAAGACTCTACGGGCAGAGTTGTTGAAGCTGAAAAAGAACATAAGGGCAGTTTTTTATTTTCTAGTTGTATTTTTTTCAGGATAACTATTGAAATAAAATAGACACTTAAGGGCAGGTTTGGTAATACCAAGTAACCACAATGTAGGAAATGTTTACCAATTTTCCTCCTTTCCCATCTCTCTCTTTAATCTATTTTGGTAATTAAACAAAATGTTACCAAACAGAGTAAGAAAATAGCCAGCAAGAACCCCATCAGAGTATTCCTTAATTATATATGAGTGAGGTGTAAGGTTCAAAGAATCTATTTTGTTACATGTACTTCCAAAATAATTTTTAACTCATACATGCATAGATCAAAACTTCTTTGTTTAAGCAACCAAAATTGTCACTAGACCGAATTAACGTTAAATACATACATCTAAATTACCAAGCTCAGAAAAGCAACAAAACTAACATCCTAAAAAATAAAATTAAAGCGGACAAAAGTTGTACAAACAACTATATATCTCACATCACTGCGATTAAGCATGATCTACATAAAAACAAACCTAATATGCTACTGAATCCACAACTTCTTTCCACCAACAAACAAAAGGCACAACTTTTTTTGTTTTATTTTGAAAGGGGCTTATAGCTTCAGTGGTTAAGAGTAATTATCTGTGCACCTAAAGTCTTGTGTTCGTAATTCGTATCCCCCTCTCCCAATATCACATGTATAAAATTTAAAATAAAAAATAAAAAAAACCTTGCCAAAGGGCCCACAATTTGAGAGTGTGTGAGTTTGAAGTTATACAAATCCACACAAAAGATTTCCTAGCCTTGGATAGATTGGTACTTTTCTTTGGGGAAGGAATAAAGGAAGAGAATTACAATCTAGAAGAATAGGCTATGATTGTAGTAGTAATCTACAGAAGAACAAACCTAATATGTATATGTATATATAGTACGGCTGAAGTAGAGGTCGAGATCCCTACCATGTTGGATGCCAATTTTGAGCTTACTCACTTTCATATAAAAGAATGAGCCTTCTTTAATTCTTTTTTTCTTCTTTGGTTATGTTGGTATTCACACCATGTACCCATCCTAATTATAACTTTGGGCATCATGGCTTTAAGTGGGATGCCAATTTTGACATCAAGCTTGATGCCTTCAAATTAATGTAGTTAAAGGATTTGACTACTTATTTTAAACAATTTTATCATTCAATTCTTATCATTACATGTCACGTGTTATATCGATTGAAAATGCTATTTCCAAACTCTCTCTCACTATTTAATTAAAGAATAAGTCTTCTTTAACTAATGCGGGTGGTGTATCGCATTGATCGTTAAGGTTAATTAAGACATCTTCTTGGTTTGGGGATCCTCTTCCAATCATTTACGATGTTTTAGTTGAAGATCTTTTGTAGTTTCGTTGTTTTAATGTTATCGCTCGTTTTCAAAAAGAAAAATTTTTCTTTACTTTATTGAAGTAAAAAACCAAAAAATATATATATATTATGATTCTAGTCAAAATTACATCCAAGCAGGGCTTTAGCCCCCCTCTGTACCAAAAAAAAATAAATACATCCAAGCTAATTAGGAATCCATTAACTTTAAACGGTAAAAAAATAAAGTAAAACCTATTCCTATAAATGTCCTAAATTCAATTTACCTCTCCCTCTCCCTCTCCCTCTCTTCATTTCTGTACTGAGCTTCATGTATTTAACCCCTAAACCTTGTAGGTATCCTCATTCTCCTCCATTGTTAACTGGTCCTCCCCATTCTTCAACATTCCTCAAGCATGCTAATCGATGAGAGTGACTACTATTGCATCCATGTCCGGAAAACAACCGAAGAAACCACCCTCAACAACTTGTCCCAGAACCAGAACCAAGGAGTTCCAATCAAGTTCGAGCTCTACAGCTCGACTGACAACGCTTGGACGATGGCAGAAGATGATAATTTTGAACACCCTGTACGAATTATCCAAGAACCACTCGACCTCATCACTGAAACAACCATTAGGGTTCCTTGTGCCAGCTCTGCCGAGCTATTATCCAATACGAGCAGGCACACAGTAGTCCCCATGGTCACTGAGGTTCTCAACACTCTAAACATCCCAGAACATGAGCACCAATCTGTTGTTGACAAACTATTTAGTGCGTTTGTTGAGTCTCAAGACCTCACCATTGAGCCTGATAATGTTTTTGTTGTGGGCATAGAGCACGTCATTTTCCGGATGCACTTTGTCGATGATTATCAAATGGTTTATGGTCTTGGCTTCCCGTTCGTTCCCGCGACGGCGTCGTCCATTGAGGGCTTGGAGGAAGTGAGCGTTGATGGCTTGGATGGTACTTGTGTTATTTGTATGGAGAACTTTGGTGAGGATGATTTTGGTGGACATGCCCGTCGCTTGCCTTGCTCTCATCTTTACCATGAAGATTGCATTGTTGAGTGGCTGGAGACCAGTCACTTGTGTCCTGTGTGCCGATACCCGATGCCTCATAATAATGCAGATTAACATGATTTTTTCTGCTATATGAATTAGAAGTTTAAGTATAATCCACATATGTTGGGTCAATTAAGTACTGTTTGTTTGCTTCTGCAATTGAATGGTTTGTTTGCTTCCATTAAGACCATAACAGTTGGCTGTTTCTTTCTTATGATTATTGATTCTGCTCAATCGGCTCAGGAAGTGAAATGTAATGTTGTTGCAATATTTTTTTTTTGTGACAAAAAATAATAAATAATTTTTTTTCCTATTGAGAGGGGCGATAATATACTAAATTCACATAGACTACATGAATGTTAGGACTCAAACCCAAAACCTTACCTGGATGAGCAATTGCTCCAAACTATTATATTATCTTATTTTTATAAAAACTATGTGAGAGAATAGATATGGTATTTTATTATAAAAAATAAGTGGGGCCCAATATACATTTTCACTTTGAAGTAGGCAATATTCCCTTGTTGGGAGAATATGTATATTTTACCTACCCATTCCCTTGGAGCATGAAAATGCTGATGTGGCAAGGCAAATAAGGTTTGCCTACTCATTTGCCTCTTCTCTTGGAGATGTTCTTATAAAAGCAACTCCAACCGATACGTCAAAAGCATCTCCAACCGATGTGTCAAAAGTGTCACATAGACATTTAACTGCAAGAAATAACATCTCACACCACTCCAAGCTATGTGTCAAAGTTGATGTGGAATGAAGGATGGAGGTTGAGATGTTATTTTGACATCCCAAAAGCAATATGTCAAATGAATATTTTATTATTTTTTATTTTATTTTATTTTTAATTAAAAATAAATCAACACTAAAATGTAATAAAATAATAATTTAATTTGACATATCGAGTGGAGTGTAAAGCTGTGTAAGATGTCAAATTGCCACATCAACCATCAAATTTAAATTTGATATTTGGTATTTGACATACGGAACTACTCTTACACAAGACCCCACTAGCCACTTGGAGTTTAATATAATAAATGAGTGCCCTTATATAAAATCATTCTCCTTATTTTCGTGATAAGAAGTTTAAAATCATTCTTTGTTTAATATCTATGATATAGGCATCTTAAAAGTTACATATATACGAAGAATGATTTTAAATGAGAAGTTTAAATAAAAATTGAACTGATATTTTATTGACATATCAAACTCATTTTGTAATTTTCAATTCCCTTTTGTAAAAATCTTTATATCATCTTTTATTTATCACAGAGACATAAATACTACTACACCAATAGTTAGTCACGGTATGTAGTCCTACGGTGTTGTGGATAAGTCATGTGAGGCTACATCCTTTTTTTTTTAGTGACAAAAAAAAATATAATAATGATAATAATGAATGTCCATATTTAACAATTCATACCCCATTCCAAAACGGAAAAGGAAAAAATGATAAGAAATTTCTTAATAAGCCACTTTTTTTCCTAGTACTACTCAATTTAGAATTTAATGTCGGCTCAAGAAATGTTTCTGGTCCCTTGACACCTATTTTTGAGTATTGATGCATGTACAACGATGTTCATGACTGACATTTTGTCCAGGCTTAATTTTCCACAGAATGTGCATGGAAATTTTACTTGGAAAATATTTGACGTGGTTGAGTCTACACACTCCACCATGGGGGCTGGCCACCATTGTCGTGACACTAAAATATCTGATCATTGTCACTGTGGATCTCGATGATTCTCAAGTTAGTGAAGTGATGATGATCATGCTAGGGCTATGCATCAGTCCATGGAGACATATAAAGTCAAGTTCGGGTTTGGAGAAAGTTAGAGTGGAGGGTTTGGGTTTGGGAACTGATAAGGTGTGTGTTATTTGTATGGAGGCTGGTTTGGGAGCTGATAAGGTGTGAGAGTTCTAAGAAAAATAAGACAACAATATAGGCTAGCTGCCACTATCACCACTTCTACAACCACCAAATTTTCATGACCATCATCACCACCAACCTTACCAACATCGCCACTGCCACCGCCACCATACCAGTTTCCACCACCCTGCATCTAGCCTTCCACCACCGCCCTTGCCCCCACCTTACCACAAATAGCCCCATCACTAGCATCATACATAATGACATGATCATTATCACAAGAAGCTAAACATTAACTTTCGTGTTTAAATTCGTTATACTTTTGGATTAGTCAAACAAGTAAATTTACAAATTCTAGAACATTAATTTCCAATTATATTATTTTATTAAAACATAATCAACAATTCTCATATTGAGTTTGCTAGTATTAATTGTCAATCTGCGTGTGAACAACTATGATGATTATTAGTCATACACGTGTGGTTATCTTATCTTATGATGAGAAATAGATATATTTATGTAGAGTCTTGTGTTATTGAGGGGTTCCTTATTTGAGAGGTACACTTTGTGAGACTCACTCCGCGTTGTATTTCAATGATCCAAATTATTATCTTTCAAGTCTTTATTAAGTAATCATCTTTAATTAATAATATTATACAAATGTAAACCATTAAGGTACATGTATTGTGATGGAATAGATAGACAAACATGGTTACACACCTATTCAAATGGTTATACATTTTTCAATTTTGGTGGTTTGTTGTAAAGATGATCTATGAAGTAAGATTTTAAAATTAAACTGTCATATCGTTGGAATACAATGCATATAACAGATTCTACACAAACATGTCTCAAATAAACTTATTTAAGTAATACTGCAATTGAAGCCCCCTCTATTTATGTATATTCCGCTTTTAGTTTCATGCAAAATATCGAGTATCGATAATTAAAGAGCAACACAATGTGCACGTGAACAATTCTATAAATAGCTTATTAGTGTGAAATTCGCATCAATCAACGATTCTCAATTATATATACGTAATTGTCTCGTAAATAAATAGAAAATAGGCTACACTCAGGAGTGAAATATCTTCTAATTACTTTTTGCCAAATTTCTAATAATTTTACCTCAAATTCATCCAATGAGTCAGTCCATAAACAAATTGAAACTCTAGCCATTTTCGAATTTACAAAAAACAGAGCACATGGAAGTTGGAAACTTGAAACCAAACACAAACACAAAATAAAACAGTCCCAAAAAATATTTATATATATAATTAAAAAAAAGAGAAACCAAAGCCAAAACCAAAGTCGTAGAAAGACTCGTATGGTATAAAAGAAAAGAGGCAGAGCCACCTCTTTTCTCTTCTCTCTGTGTCTCTCTTAATTCAGGAAATGGAGTTGGAGCCAACAAAGATTACTTTCACTTCCTCTGTAAAACCCTAATTGTCGATCCCCCCTCCCCCTTCTCTATTTTTCTTCTTTTTCTCTCAATAGCCCCCACGTTCTCTCTCTACAATCTTCGATCCCTCTCCGCTAATCGATCCACTTCAATCACTTCTCAAAAGCAGAGGAAGAAGAAGACCCTTTATTTATTTCTTTGCCCTCTCTGAAACCCCAAAATTTCCCAATCCAAAGCTCTCGATCTGTGGCGCTCGATTTGGGGGGTTGAATTTTTTTTTTTTAGGGTTTTGGGCTTCTCGGGTCCGTCAAGGCTGGCGGGTATTCGGGTCAAGTAAATGGCGGATCCGCCTGGTATCCGCCTGCATCGCACGTGTGGTTTCTTCGAACAAAGGCTTGCAGTTGTGTGTGTATTTTCTCGATTGGGTAGGATAGGGTTACGTTCTTGCTGTGAAGAGACTGAAGATTTTTGCTGCCTAGAGTGAGAAGCGAAAAAAAAGCATGCTGAGCGTGCTACGCGTGCACCTCCCTTCGGATATTCCCATTGTAGGCTGTGAGCTCACGCCATACGTACTCTTGCGCCGGCCTGACAAGACTGTCACAACAGACGATGTGCCCGAGTCGGCCCCTCTTGATGGCCACTTCTTGAGGTACAAGTGGTAAGTGTCAATTTCCCAATCAATTTAATTTTTTTTTTTTTTTTTTTTTTTTTTTTTTTTTGCTGTTGAATGGTTTTTCGGGTGCTTCTATTCCTGAGATTTTCTGGTTTTTGAGTTTTGTTTGTGGCCTCTGGGTGGTTTGAGGTTGTTGTTACTCAGGTTTAGGCAAAGATTTTAGCTTCAAGTACATCTACAGGGAAAAAGCTTCTGGGTCTATAGCTTATATGCATATTTGTAGTTTTACTTATATTTATGCTCTCTGTCTTTTCATGGGTTTTCATATGATTTAACAACATCTTTTTAAGTAAGGTTTTTTTTTAAACAAAAGAAAAAGGTTTCTAGAGATATCTATGTCAATGTTGTGTATTTGTCTTTTTACATTCATGAGTGTTTAATTTATATTCTTGAATTTGAATACTGTATATATATACAGCATTAATTTCTTGAATTGTGCAATTGAATTAATTGCAATAATTGAAAGATCTTAATAGGATCATTTACTTTAGAATAAAAGGCAAATGATTTGTCATGGATTCAGAGGCCATATGACACATTGCAACCGAGCCAAATTGCGTGATGAGTTAGGCTTTACAAGTCTAGAATAGTTTGTTATAATAAGAAATAGTAGCAGAGCGATGAATGCTGAAACAGCTGTAACATTGCGAAACGTCAAAGTGTGGATACCTGTTTGGAAGTCCAGGTTGCATTACTACCATTTTTTGCTACTACACATATTTTCAGGAGTGCATACTCCTCCAATGGTATGTATTAAAAATATGTTTCGAGAATTTATTGTGTGGCCGAGTGGTTGGGGCTCATAGCTCCACTGATAGAAACTTACCGCGCAGCTACCGATATAATTATTGTGTGGCTGTGTTGTGATGAAAACCTACTGTTTGGTGGGGCTTACCCCAGATTGCACCTACGACCAGAATTCATCTTTCTCTCCCCCTTCCTTTGATCCAAAAAAAAAAGAAAAAAGAAAAGAGAAAACCTGATGAAGGAGTTTTGGCATACTTTTTATTATCTTGCCATATTCTTTCGTGGGTTTCTTCAATAATAACCAGTTTTTGTAGGCCCATTAGATAACTAACTTAAATAAAAAATAAAAAGTATCCTGCTTTGGACTATGTCAAGTCCGGGCCATATTCGAGATTGATTTCAGATGTGGGCTGATGAGATTGGGGGTCGAGTTCTTGATCCACATCGTGACTCGCGTGTTGACCCCATTTTGGTCATTTCAAGTCCAAAACAGGTTAGTCTTCTAAGTTTATTGAAAAAGGGGTAGTTTCAATAGGCCTGCGTAAATGGGTTATTTTACAAAGGAGCCCTTGTTTTGTTCTCTGTCTGATGTGTATTTAACCTCAGTTCTTATCCATGGATTACACAATTTTACGGTACAAACTAGTTAGAGGGTATCTTTTAAACCTTTTTTAAATATGCAGTTTGCAATAAGTCATGTCAGGAGCTGGACTAACAATTTTCGGTCATTGAGGGGAAGAAGAAAATGTACCTATTCCTTTAAGCTTTGTGCTATGCAATTAATGAGGAGATTCCCCCATTAATGGCAAAATATTGGGCTTTTAATTTGCACAGGATATTGAACGCTGTGATAATAGTTGATATCAGCACACTTCAGTGGTTTATTGGGCTTAAATTTTATGCCACTTTCATTTTTTATGCAATTAACGAGGTGAGGTTTCCGTCAACAAATGACAAATTATTCGGTGTAATTTGCACCTGATACTGTACGTAATGATAAGATCTTGCCGTTGTGCCCTTACTTATAGTTTCTGGTTTAATGGTGGTTTCTGTGATTTACAGTGGCCCATTCTCAATCTTGATTGCAGGTATCGTATACAAAGTGATAAAAAAGTTGCAGTCTGCAGTATACATCCATCTGAGCAAGCCACATTGCAGTGTCTAGGTTGTGTCAAGGCCAAAATACCTGTTACCAAAAGTTACCATTGTTCTCCCAAGTGCTTCTCAGATGCATGGCAGCATCACCGTGTTTTGCATGACCGTGCTGCTAGTGCTGTAAATGAAAATGGAAATGAGGAAGAAGAGGTGTTTGGGCGCTTCAATAGCTCTGGATCTGGAGTACTCAACACTAGTCTATCTGGATCAGTGTCAAGCACGAGTTTGACAAATGGTTCAGCACCTTTATATCCTGCGGTTGTTACCCAAAGGAGTGGTGGTGAAACATGGTTTGAAGTGGGACGATCTAAAACGTATACGCCTACAGCCGATGATATTGGGCATGTTCTTAAGTTTGAATGTGTTGTGGTCGATGCTGAATCAAAAGTACCTGTGGGACATGTCAATACCATATTAACTTCCCGTGTCATTCCAGCACCCTCTCCAAGTCCACGCCGTCTGGTTCCTGTCAATGGAGCTGATGTGATGGGGCATTTGGATTCAGATGGCCGTATTTCATCTTCTGGAACTTTTACTGTGCTTTCGTACAACATTTTGTCTGATGTGTATGCCACCAGTGAATCATACAGTTACTGCCCTTCGTGGGCACTTTCTTGGCCTTACCGCAAACAAAATTTGTTGCGGGAAATTGTTGGATATCGTGCAGATATTGTTTGTCTTCAGGAGGTATTACAAATCTTACTTTTGTTGTCTAGCCAAATTGGAATGCAGAAATGTCTTATAGATATTTGGATGTATTGAGTTATGCATTATGCATGTAAAAACTGATTAATGGCCCTCTCAGGTTCAAAGCGATCATTTCGAGGAATTTTTTGCCCCCGAGCTGGACAAACATGGTTATCAAGCACTATACAAGAGAAAAACAAATGAGGTGGTCTGTTACTATCCCTTATATTTATTACAGCTTCAATAAACTTCTTATTCATTATGGGGTCATAGATTTAAAATTTTCTTGCCATTAATGTGCATTCTTTGGCGTCAGGTTTTCACTGGGGGAGCACAAGCAATTGATGGTTGTGCAACATTTTTCCGTAGAGACAGATTTTCACATGTCAAAAAATACGAGGTTTGGAGAAAGAAAGAGAGAGAGAGTAGTATACATAAATTTTAGTTTTATTTGGTTCTTCTTAGTATGGAGTTTGTTTTAATGCAGGTTGAATTCAATAAGGCTGCTCAGTCTTTGACTGATGCCATGATTCCAAGTAATCAGAAGAAAAGTGCTTTAAATCGATTAGTTAAGGTGGGTTTGTTCTTTATGAATTTTATAAGTTGGACTTGGATCTTTTTGAAATGATCTTGGTCTATGATGCTCATGTCTGGATCTCAATATCTGTAGGATAATGTTGCGCTCATAGTGGTTCTGGAAGCAAAGTTTAGCAATCAGGGAGCTGATAATCCTGGGAAACGGCAACTTCTTTGCGTGGTATGAGATGCATGTTGTATTGTTATTACTCCTAGATGCTTTTTGTTTTCTTTTCAACTGCCTTGACGCCAATGCACGGGCATCCTTCATGGTGTTTTTGTAATCATGTTTTTCTCGTGGTATGGAGTACAGGCAAATACACATGTAAATGTCCACCAAGATCTAAAGGATGTCAAACTCTGGCAGGTAACTCATATTTCTTAGTTCTTCCATGTGTAGTGCATTTGTTTAAATATTTTCAAGATGACATTGGATTTTGCGTTTTTCATGTTTCTTATCAGGTTCATACTCTCTTAAAAGGATTAGAGAAGATAGCTGCCAGTGCAGATATACCAATGCTGGTGTGTGGAGATTTTAGTTCAATTCCTGGAAGGTCTGTTGATTGTTTCGATGATTCTATTTTGAATTGAAAATTTATTACCGGTATGTTGCTTGCTTAAGGTACTGCTGAACTTTGTTGCAGCGCTCCTCATACACTTCTTGCTATGGGAAAGGTAGATCCATCACATCCAGATTTACAAGTAGACCCTCTTAATATACTGCGCCCTCTCAGCAAGCTGATACATCAGCTTCCACTGGTAATACATGCTTTGTAATGTACTGGCTTGTTTATCAATTGTTATTACTGTTTTTTTTTCCTTTTTAACTGGGAGGGGAAGATATACATGTTTTTGGGTTCTATGGCTTGTGCTGATTGTGGCTGAATCCTTATTGGAACTCACAGGTAAGTGCGTATTCATCATTCGCAAGATTGGGAGTTGGTCTAGGTATGGAGCAGCAGAGAAGGAGAATGGACCCCACCACGAATGAGCCATTATTTACAAATTGCACCAGAGATTTTATTGGTACCCTGGATTACATATTTTACACCGGTAAGTTTACAGATTACAAATTTGTATGAGCTGTTCATATTTATACCTCTTTTGATAGATCAATTCTTCATAAAGCTATTTAATGTTTGGTTGCAGCGGACTCTTTAACGGTGGAGTCCTTGTTGGAGCTCTTGGATGAGGAAAGCTTAAGGAAAGACACAGCGCTTCCTTCCCCAGAGTGGTCATCAGATCACATTGCACTTCTAGCTGAGTTTCGCTGCAAGCCTAGAATTAGACGTTGACACATTGTACTTCTAGCTGGGTATGCTTTCAAATCTTTTTTGTTTCCATCTGATTCCAGATGAATATTTTATGGTATATGTATATTTGGTCTTGGTTGAAAAGTTTGTTTGAAGGGCTTCATGTTTTTATCATTTACTAATCATTTTTCACAGATATAATGAATTACAAAGTTTGAGCTATCTATTTGTTTATTACTTGTTGACCCCTTTTCAACTCCAGTCCATGGAGGTCAATTTAGGGAAATTGTTGGCATGAGGGGGGAAGATCAGATGCACTGGTGGAGTGCATCCAATTTAAATTAATTTACAATAAAGAATTTCTAGAGACTTTAGTTGGGTGTGTTCTGGATTGTTTTCCCTCCTTGAAAGGTTCAGAGCGTGGTGCTTAGAATACTGTAGTTAGATTGATGATTGTATCGCCAATTATGCCAGTGTTACATCTGCTTAGTTGGTTCTGGCTTAACTCATGCTTACTTAGAGGAGGCTCAGTGTGAAATATCCTACATTATTGTTAAGAGAATTGTGTTTTTTATGCAAAAATTAAATGTATAATTTTTTCCGCTTATGTGGTTCTTGTGTTGATGGCAACCTCAATGCGTGTAGGAGAGAGGTCCGGAGACATCCAAGAAAAAGGCTGAGAGAGAAGCTGCTGGATGAAGTTTAGTTATTGTAAGAATGGTAGATCGTGCCCCTAGTTCTTTCCAGGTATCTCCTTGTGGGATCCTTGCAATGATCTGCTTTGTATTATGCCACCTTTGTCTTATAGAAAAGTTATTATGATGCCCTGCTCAATTGCCGATCTCGTTTTTGCCAATAGAATTTCTTAGATGCTCACCAGCTGATCATATCATCTTAGTCTTAATCCTGTACTCTAATCCCTGAAAGGCAAGTGGTTAGTGGCCTGCAATTGTTTGCACCTTTTCTTTTTTATACCTTGAGTTCTTGAAGCTCTTGTTCACAGCGCCCTTTCCCCTTTTACTTCCATTTTAATTTTTGGTAAGGGAACAAAGGATAAGGAATAAGATTTTGATTTTTTTTTTCGAAGGGTTCCCCTTTTCTCTAAAACAGCTCGTCTTGTTTGAAGCAGGAACTGCATTGGTTTTCTATTTCAGTGTAAATTATATAATAGTAGCCATATGCGAGGTTGCATTAGTCTTTCTGTGGTGTTTTCTATTCGGAAGTGAATGTTGAGAGTAAAAGAATTTCCATTACTGAGCGAGCAAAAGGAGGGAATTATTTTTGAACTCGGGCAGTCAATGAACGCTTGTGTCACCAATCAGAATTTTTTTAAAAAGAAGGTAGTGTACTGTTTCATTCTAAATCTTAATGAACGTGAGCGTACACTCGAGCATGAACGTGAGGGTAATCAATGTGGGCTGGTGATTTGGGCCATTGTTTAACAATTCAATTGAATCAGGATGCACATGGGGTTGATGGGTTAGGCTACGATCGTGGGTTTGGAAAGTGAATTGGAACGCATGTTTTGTTTTAGTTTCCAAAATGCTTTGTCAACAAAGAGTTCTGCTACCGGTTTTGTCAATGAAAAAAGTTCAAGTGGTTATTTACCCTTGAATATGAGGTCCTAGGTTTGATTTCCCCACCCCTCAATATTGCTTGTATTTAATCATGGTCATAGAAATTTAGAAGATTATAGTCATCCACATTTGGAAGATTAAAGCGATCATCCAATTTGTTCAAATAATCCTCAACTATTTATCAACCCTAATTTTGCATTCCTTACCAATAAACCAGAAACCTGCCAACTTGAAGTCACCAATCTTCCAGCATCCTACAAATGCATTATTATGCAGCGCTATGCGAGCCTTGCAAGAACTAAACTAAAACAAATTCTCTCTTATAAATCCTTCTCTCAAAGGTTTCTAGAGCCTTTCCGAGTCCGTCATCTGCCTCCCCCACGAGAAAAAATTGCATGTTTCGAGGATAATCATGCGTGGCGGAATATGATTGGTTGCAAGTTGTTCTCCACATGTTTGTTTTCTTAAGCTTGGCTTTGTTTTAGGCAAACAAGTACAAAGAATCTGTCCAGGCCTTGGAATCAGAATCAATCTCATTCCCGCAATAAGCCTCCCTTCTATCTGTGGATGTATCTGAATGACGTTGCATCACTGCAACCGCGGCCATGGCATTCTATTATTTGCCATATCAGGTACAAATTTTGTGCATCAGGCTTGAGTATATAAAACAACCCAAAAAAACACAATAGAAAATAAAGGATGGAGAGGCATCAAAAGATAAAAAGAATGAGATGGGTTGGTGAAAATCTACTTTATCTTTCTTCTGTTGGTAATTTTACAGGCTCAAGTAGGACCTTGGGGAGTACGATTGCTTTGGCAATAGTTGCAGGTTCATCGCTGACAAGATGGTGTAGGTATTAATATTTCTTGGTCAGAATGACACTTGAAATTCTAGCTACAAAAATAGCACAATCACAGTTTATTTTGTTTGTCACGCAGAGTAGCAATTTTAACATCAACCAAAGTGTGATAAGTAAACATTGCACTTGCGCCATACTTGTATACTGTAAGCTCAATCAGCGTGATGCAGACCCCAAACATTTGGAAATTAAGATGGACTGAAGATCAGAGTATGGTCAAGCCGCCACATCCATGAAACTGCATGTCCACACCATAACTTCTAATGTCCATGATTGAATATCCACGAATCCAAGAATAATCCTGAAAAACATATATATGGTAATCATGCACAAGACCAGAGAGACGAAGATATCTAAAAGCTTATAACGTGATAAACAGAAGTGGAGTACCACAGCAACAATTAGATATGTTTTTTGCTCATATGGAGCTTACAGAAACCATAATATTTTCCATTACAAATATTAAGAACAAGATACAAAAATATTACGCGTTATGAGGCTAATAAAGATTTTTTTTTGGATCAAGGGGGAGGAGGTATTTGAACTTGAGACCTCTTCCAGCATTAGGAAGAGAAATACCACTAGACCAAAAGCTCATTGGTAAGGCTAATCAAGATTGAATAGAAGAACTTGACATGCCACAAAAGTAAAGTACTTCAATGGATAGATTGTGATTTCTTATCTACTCAAGTTGTGGTTCGTCTGCTCTAATAGGATAGAGCTTAGAGACGATATACCATAAAGGAAGGAAACTGAACCATTTCATCCGCAAGTTTACAAATGACATGCATTAGCTGTGTACTTTGAAGCACTGCAACTTCGGAAACAATTGAAGCAGTTCATCACGGCTCCGTTTCTACAAGAGAACAACTATACAATTAGAGAAACTGTTCCAAGTTTTAGGAGCTAAAAGTTTTACTAAATACTAACTAGATCATTACCTTAATTCCAATACAGCCATTCACGTCAAGAGTTGTAATTGTGTTTGAGCAGGTCCTTGAAAGGGACTCCAGGCATTTATCGGTCACCCCAACTATGCCAAATAAGCTGCATTTTGTCATTCACAAGTCAGTAAGATCGCTGAATATGCCTGCAGGTTATCATTCAACAGCATGGGAACCATATTGGTTCACTCAAAAGAAGTATCAAATGAAGTGTTAACTTTTTCAGTTTATGTTGCATATATATTTAAAAAATTTGATACCAGGGATTTGAACATAAATCAAGACATTTCCGAAATGTACTTTGTTTAATTTTTTCTATTGACCTATACGGCACACTGCACAAGCATGGGCTGGTAAAAAAGTTAAGGAACTAAAGCTCCAATCAATTGCACAAAATCAATGTTGCAGCTCAATCCAGTGTAGCATGAACATGCTTCTTGGTCTCTGCATGTTTTTTTACTAAATAAAGAAGGAAAAAAAAAAGCAACAATAGTGACGACTCTTGCAGACCAGCAACTTAAGGGCATTTTTATAGTCAAAGACATTCAAATATAATAACTGCATAAGTGACCAGAGTTTGATATTTCTCAAGTCAAGAATGCACAGGCCAGTATCATGCATTAAGTTCCTTCAAAATTTCTTTCCAAGATTTACCTGAGAAATTCAAGAGATGTGCAACCCTGCGCAACAGCTATGACCCCCACATCAGTGATACGTACACACCTATCAGAAGGTAGAGATAGTTTTAAGATTGTAATTAATGTATCTATTTTGCTTCATACACATGTTAGGAATTCAGAAGCTTCAGTTACCATGTCAAATTGAGAGACAGGAGGCTCTTGCATCTAGCTATACAAGACAGCCCTTCATCTGATAGATTCTGAAATGAGATTTACCATAAGTACTTATCAAGTTATCATCAGTTTGGTAAATGGCTTCTAATGAGTTACATCAGAATAGCTAAATCTAGTAAATGCTACCTGGCCACCACACAGATCCAAGAATTTAAGATGGGAAAGAAGTGATATTCTCTTGTAAGCTTCATCAGTGAAGCTGAGCAGAGGAAATGCAGCCAATCAGAACACAGCAAGAAGAACATAGTTCAAATTTATACAGAGACTCCATCAAGTACCTCGATAGGGCATACAAATTAAGACTATGGAGACATGGGCAACCGTGCAATATCTGCTGCAATCCAGAATCTGTTAACTTGACACACCTGAGAATAAAAAAAAATTATAATCTGTAAGCACCAGAAGGAGGTAATATTTTTTGCACAGGACAATCATCTCACCACTTGACCTTTGTGTAAAAGGGAAAGTGTATTTAGAGGAGGAACTGAGAATGTCATGTCAATGATCAATTTTTAGACAGGTCATAGCCCAGAAGCCACACAATTGGAAAAAAACTACGTTGTGACATGAAAGCAGATGAAACATTCACAGAATGATCTTTGCTCAAGATGATGTAACAAAGAGCAATATTTCTCACCTGGTCAGGTTCAACAACTCTAATTCTGGATAATTCTGAGCCACTAATTGCAAGCTATTGTCTGAAAGATTCTGCGATTTCCACATCAAAATACCCCATTCAAAGAAAATACTTCATGAAATAAATAATACTATGCATGTATGTTTCGTAATGTATAGTTTGCAAGAAGCAAAGCAATGAAGTAGGATGGGACCCAGTGACAGATACCTTACAGCCACTGAAATTCAGATCAACTATATGTTTGCAGTTCTTCACTAGGTGTGCTATACCTATATCTGTTACCCTGAAACTCAAATGACATTCCAAAATTCATTGAAAATGAACAAAGCGTCAACTAGCAATATGATTTGAAATACAAATCAACCTTACACACCTCACATTCCAATAGATAGAAAAGACCTTCAGATTAGGGCAAGCACTGGTTATAGCTTCAATTCCCTTATCAGAGATCTTCTGGCAGCCATTAAGATTCAAAACCTCCAGGTTTTGAAGAGAATCTAGACACTGTAGAAATGCATAATTTTCTTTTAAACAATCAAAAGTTGTTCAAAAGCATCTATTTACAAAAAGTATTGCATACTTCACCAAGTACTCATAGAGTTTTATATGAACTACGGTTAACTAAGTCACCTAGATTCTATAGTGCAGAAGAAAAAAAGTCAAATTATAATAACAGATGATCTACCATGCAGTTATAAAGGTTAGGAAAATCTAGGTCTGATAGAGAAATTAGTCTTCTTTCTATTCACAATCTCATGCTACAAAAACATGCCTTGTGCTGTAAAATCTTCAGCTCCACAAACCATAAATAATTTAAAAGTTAAGGACAGAAGCTTAGTTGATTCTATAATTGGAAATTTAAAACGTGAATCCTAACCCAAACATAGACCTAACATCAACCAAAGGAGGTCCTAACTGTGTCTCACTTCTCAAACCTTATAAATATCAACCAATATATTAGGTAACAATATTTTATGGCTTTTTATAAGAATTTCATGCTATGCTTTCTATGTAACAAGGAATACCAATATCAGTGCCAGTAGCCTACATTACAGCCTCATTAAAATCCATTATACCGCATTTATGCTGGAAAATCAACAACATCCCAAATGCACCTTGTCAGGCATTTGTATTACTATTAGTTAAAAGTATAGACACGGTTTAATACGGAATGAAAAAAGAACATTACAAACATTACAATATTTACCTTCCTTCTAATGTTCACAAGCATTATTATTAATATTTAATACAACTGAATTTTCTCACACATCAGAAAATCAATATTGTTATAGTTCTTTGAAATATAAAATTTGACACAAGGTCATACTAGAATGGCATGTTACCTTGTTCTTTATGAGTTCAAGATGCTTGTCTTCAATGTCTTGTGCAAATTCAAGGTTTATCTGCTTCACATGCCGATATCTCGGCTGGAAACATTTCACCATGAAAACATATCAGTATAACAATGTGTCTATAATCATCCACTAAGAGCATTTCAAATACTAATCCAAGCAAACTCTACATCCCAATCATTTCAAAATAACCATTATCACATCATCCAAGAATGAATTTTTTTAACTCCCATATATAACAGTCAAACCCCTCATCCGTTTTTATTTTTCAAAACTTGATTTAGGTACAAAAATACCCACTCTTTTGCCATACATTCAAATTGAAGATCACCCACAGATCATTATTTTAGTTCTTTTAGATAAGGATTACTCATACATCATTAAATTCCAGGTATCAAACAAATATAGCATCTTTAACAGTAAATTGTGGTATATCTAACCAATGAAAGAGCAGCTATAAGGCGATTCCCAGCATTATTCATCTCACGAAGATCGAGAAGCTGAAACACGAACCAAAAAACCCTTGTCACATAAAACCATACAACTCAAATACCCATCTGAATCTTCAAATTGAAAGAAGAGGAAGAAAAAGTTCATATTGAGAAAAAAGAAAATAGTACCAGCCAAAGGGAAGGGTAGGAGACGAGAGTTCCATTGAGCCATGGGCTAACTAGCAAGAGAGAGACAAGGTCTCTCTGAGACAGTCTTGAGCTCACTATCTTCAGAACCTTAGGAATGGTTTCCCTGCTCCAAGTGCCCTCCTCAGCTGCTTCTACGTCTTCCCCTTCCATTTTTATTCAGAGAGTGAGTTTGGTTCCCGAGTTCGCTGCTTTTTCGCCAAAAACTATTTATATCTACGAAATTTTGCAGTTTTTTTTTCTTTCTTTTTTTGGGTATCTCTAGTAATTATGGGTATCGGGCTATGATCCGGGCTGGGTTTCCACCGAAAATGAACCCAATCCGATTATATAGCTCTCTACAGGGCCGTTTATTGGGCTGGATGTGTTGTTAATTTTTTCTTTTAGTGGTTTATTAATAACTAGCCTCTTGGTTTATGATTTTGATAATATGTTTATTAAAATTAGGGAAATTTGCATAAATACCATCTGAACTTTGAGGCATGTATGCCATTGCCACCTGAACTTTTAATTTTAATTTTTAACCCCCTAAACTTTGTAGAGTGTTGCAATCCACCACCTACATCTAACTCCGTTAAAATTTCCGTTAAATGTAAGAGCATTTTCCTTTGTAACTAATTAAAAATAATTATAAAACAACATAATTTTTTTAAAAAAAATGAAAAAAATAAAGTTAACCTAACTATCACGAATGTAAGGGCATGTAATGGCAAAGTAGGGTGTATGCAGAATAGAGTTGCGCACATATTAATATCAATGGCCAATTCGAGGGTGAAACGGAATTAATGGTGTGTCAACCCTCTCCAGTGATACCGTACTATTCTATAATTTCTCCCCTCACTAGTCCAAATTCTTTCTATTGATGGCCTTCTTGGCCCCCTTAGTTTTTTTCTATTGTGCCCTCAAGCATCTTCATAGGGCGGGAAGAGTGCTTTTTTCCCTACTAGTCTAGTCGATGTGTTGATGCTTGAGGTGTTTTGATGTGTATCGGATGCTTTTATGGTTATTTGTTACGTATTTTTTTTGGCTTGTTTTAGCCTTTTGAATGATATTGATGGTGTATGCACAGCGTTGGGTGGGGGGAGGGGGAGACAAATTGGCGTTGGTTTTTTTTTCTTCCAAGATCCATAAAAACCATATGAAGAATTTGTCTCACATTTTTTTTTTCTTCCCAAGATCTATGAAAACCATAGCTCTACTTTTTTCAAATCTTCCAAGAATATGAAAATCATGTGAAAACTAAGGCCTGAATCTTTGTGTGTTTTATAACCTACCAAAATCTCATATTTCTTCTAATTTAAGGGGTGTATTCAATTGGGATTTTAATTTCACAAGTAATCTAACTCCTCATTATTTTTGGTGATTCATATTTTTATTTCTTTTTCTTTTTAAAATTTAGTTTTTTTTTTAATAATTCTCTTTAAGTGCGGTGAATTAACTAAAATACCCTTGCATTTAACAGAAACTTTAACGGTGTTAGACATAGGTGGTGGATTGCAATACTTTATAAAGTTCAGGTGGTTAAAATTTAAAATTAAAAGTTCACGTGGTAATGACGCACATATCTAAAAGTTCAGGTGAGACAAATTTAGCCTTTATCTTTAAAACTTTAAAGACAAATTTAGCCCTTTGTAAAATGACTTCTAAAGACTTGGAGGAAAAATATTTAATGTTTAATACTAAATATAAAGATAAAAATGATAAACATAAATGTAATATTCAAATATATATATATAGTAAAAGACAGAGAATGGTAAAACATTCAAAATACCAGAAAATACTCTTGATTAATATAAACATTAAGAATTGAAATTATTAATTAAATGAGGATAATATGGTAAATGTAATATATAGACGGTTTAGATCATTAAAATAAAATGCTTAGTGGGTTCTACAAGGGTGTCCCTCAAATAAGCTTATTTGAGGGAACTGAAGCTCTCTCTATATAAAATTATTTGAGAAATCCCTCAATATAAGGTGATTTTGAGTGAGGGATTTTGGTTTATAAAAAATTATATTTAAAAATAAAACTAAAATGGTTTTACGTCAATGACTATTACTCTGTCTCTACTTTGTTGGTAGATGTCATGAGTTCAAATATCACAAATCATAGTTACTAAAAACATCACAAACCAAAATTATTTTATAGCAAATTTTTGTAACATTTAGCTAGAAAAGGGAACCCTTTGATATGATTTTATAAAAAGCTAAACGCCTGTTTGATAACCATTTCAATTTTAGTTTTTAGTGTTTAGCTTTTATTTTTTGTGCTAGAGTATAAAGGAAAATGAGAGTGAGGAAGAGATTGAGAGAGAGGATGAGAGGAGAGGATGGGATGGAGGAGTAATAAAAGTGAAAATAATTTCAAATAGATTTCGGTTTTTAGTTTTTGTTTACACTTTTGTTACTCCTCCCTCTCATCCTCCCCTTTCATCTCTTCCCTCTCAATCTCATCTCTACTCTCTTTCTCCCTCTTTCTTTTTTTTAACTTTAGCACAAAAAATGACAACAAAAAACTTAAATTAAAATAGTTATCAAATGGCAAAGCTTTGATTTCCATAACAAGGGGCCCTAGATGACGTAAAAAGAGAAAATCACATTGCATGGCCAGCTACCTACCTGTTGCTGGCCTGGGATACCAAAAGTACGTACTCTCACTACAACTATTTCTCATTTTCAGAGCCTCAACTAGCTAGCTAGCTAAGCTAGTCACCTATTTAAAAGTGTACTGGATTTTCCATATCTATGAAGGAAAATAACAAGCGAAGCGACCCAAAGGCAAACATCCCCCAACCCCCCCCTAGCTAACTGTCCTTTTTCTTGTTTTTATACGTAACAGATAGCATTCTGCCGACATTAATGTTCTTTCATTTGAGCTGACTTGCTTGCATATATTTTTTTAATTAGAGGTTTTTGTTTTGGTCGATCCACTTAATAATGCACTTAATTAACGAAACCAGGAAAACTGCATGCTTCTCTGCTGTGTGGAGAGAAAAAGGACACACAGAGTGACAGAGAGTTGTTGATATTAAGTAGTTTTACTACAGAAGTATTGACTTTTCGTTGTTAATTGCTAATCAAATTGCTATCTCTATATATTTCTAAGTTAATGGCTCTTAGAATAGAGGTGTTTAATTCGATAAAAAAAAAGGATAAAATATTGATATTGGTAAAAATTTGAAAATATTTATGGTAATTGTAAGTCTACAAGCATTTTTTTACAATGTTTATAGCATAAATAGTTAAGTGCTTTTTGAGTTATAGAATTAGAGCTTGTTCATGAGTAATTTTAGGATGACCAAAATCACTTGCGGGGAGAAGCATCTTCCACATGCTTTTCATTTGAATTCTTTATCTAAAATCACTCCCAAACGAGCCCTCACTTTCTTGTGTTTTCTAAAGAAGAAACAAACCGACCGAGGGGTTTACCTCAGTGGTGAGGTCCCTCCCCCTTCCCCCCTTGGAACCCTTACTTTCTTGTGTTTTCTAAAGAAGAAATGAACCAACCGAGGGCTTTACCTCATTAGTGAGGTCCCTTCGAATCCCAGGATAAGTCCCCTCCCCACCCCCACCACCACCTCTCCCCCCCAACCCCACAACACACCACACCACCCCACCCACAAAAAAAAACCCCAAATGCAATGTATCTATCACTAATCCTAAAATAAAGAAAAAAAGAAAACAAACCCACCTACGAGCAAAAGTGCTTGCTAAAAAACACTCCAAAAAGGCAGCATTACCCTGCTTTTCCCAATTTTGCAGGTCCCCCCTGCATGGAGGTCCCCATGCCTCTATCTGGGTCTCTCGAATGCAAATTCAACTTGGGTTGGTATATGTCACATCACATCAGAAATACATACAGGCTTAACTGAGATATGATGTAAGTTGTAACTATCGGACGGACAATAATACAGCTCGTACCACCAGATGTACGTACAAGATTAGGCAGACAGGAACAGTAAAGTAAAATACATATCCCAAATTTTTGTATATATAAGTTGAACGCACAAGGCAAATAAGAATTCAGGTGAAGGAAACTGCGCCAAGGAGCATGGAGATTACATGAGAGAGGCAACAACATTTTTATGGCATACATGGGGGAAGTCCAGGCAAACATATTTTCCTAAGTCTTTTCTGTTTTTTATATTTTTATTTTTATTGTTTGGTTTTTACGCTTAAGTTTGCTGGGAAACTTAGGCCCATGAATGTGTAATTGTCTACGTGTATGTATTATTAGTTTTTGACTCAATGTTGAAAGATGTCCAAAATTTGAATTCCTCCGAATCTTCTATAATAATTAGCTATATAACCTAAGTTGCCCATGAGTATATATATCATTGGAGCCTTCCTCCCCCTTCTTGGCTCAAACTTAACGGTTGTATGGAGGACTGGCGGTGCTAATTGCACCCACCATAAAATAACTGGAGGAAAGTTTCACCTTAATTTGATGCTAATAAATAAGTAGGATTAACTACACTTTAGTTCCTGGAGGTTTAGTGTCAGTATCAAAATGGACCCCAAGGATTCAATTAAATCAATTTCATATCCGACATTTCAAAGTATTACCAATTTACACATGCCGTTACATTGACCGTCAAAGTCAGACGTTAAATGCTGACGTGGCAGTCGTGGGACCCACTTCATAACCAAACAGCATTTAGAAAGAGACCAATATGGGACCCACCCACTAACCAATTCCAAAAATTAATTTTATATAAAATAACAAAATAAAATTAAAATAAACTTTAAAAAAAACCTAAGAGTTGCAGACCCCAGCCCTTTCTCTTCAATCTCAACTTCGTTGGCTTCCATCCTCTCCATCTCCAACACTCTTTCTCCATCGCCATAACCATATAATTCCCACTAAAAACAATCTCAACCCAAATCTCCACCATGGACAAGGCAAAAAAACCCACAACCTCTCACACAGCTAGTATCGAACCAACCCATTAATGTTGGAGGGCAGTGGAGGAAATGGAAGACGTGGATAGATGCAAAAAGAGCTAGGATGGAGAGATGCAGACCCACCATGGATAGATGCAAAGATATTGGAGGAAATGTGTTATTTATGGGTGGATTTTTTTAGAGTGAGATTTTTTTTAAAAAAAATTTTAAAAAAATTGGATTTGGTTACTGTGATTTTGTTTTGTTTTGATGGTGGAGTGTGTTGTGCGTTTTGGTGATTTGGTTGTTTTATCTTTCCCTTTTGAAATTAGTTTGTTGTTTGGAGAGAGAGAGAGAGGAGGTTGTTTCAATGGTTGCCACTGCTCATAATATCCATGAGCCAACATCGCCAACCGCCAACACCTCCCTTTTGTGTCACCGCCAACGCCAGCCTAAGAGAAGGGGCTAGGTTGGTTTTTTCTCTTAATGCTTTTTTATTTTATATAAATTTTTTTTTTCCAGAATTGGTTAGTGGGTGGGTCCCATATAGGTCTCTTTCTAAATGTTGTTTGGTTATGAAGTGGGTCCCACGACTTCCACGTCAGCATTTAACGTCTAACTTTGACGGTCAATGTAACGGCGAGTGTAAATTGATAATACTTTGAAATGTCGAGTATGAAATTGATTTAATTGAAACCTTGGGGCCCATTTCGATATTGACACTAAACCTCCAAAGACTAAAGTGTAGTAAATCCAAATAAATAAGACCATGTGAATGTTTGAGGACTTGCACTTTCAGAAATCAAATTTGATCATACAATTTAATCATCAAGATAGAGGTAATTTAGTGCACGGACGACGACAGAATAGGAAGCAATTGTTTTAAAACATCCTCTCTTTGCTTTTCTTCTTGTATGTATTCAATTTTTGAAGCAGAGAAAGAAATAAGAGAAATGAGTGCAAATGGATAATGGAGAGTGTGAAAATTGTCTTCCTTATTTTAAGCTCATCGAGGCCAAAATCGTGATGGAAAAAAAAACCCCCATCATTCAGTGGCGGATTCATGAATTTTTCGAAGGTCAACATGTAAAAGGTTAAAAAATATCCATACAAAATATACCCATAAAAATGAAATGATAATGTTATAATTCATAATTAGTAGAAAAAACCACATTACAAATTACAATTGTCCACGACGAGTTTTCATATCATGAAAACGTCGCATTATAGTTTCATTATCAATACAAGCAAAACACATATATTTCTCAATATAAACAAGTAAGCTATCACTCAACCATTAATCTCCCATTTGGTTGCGAAGTAGACCTTTCACAATATTCATAGTGGAAAATGCTCTCTTCGTTGAAGCAGTTGCAAACGGTAAAGTTAAGGCTAATGTCACAAACAAATACACATAATTAAATGTTCTATGCATCCTTTTCTCCACTATTTTTCTTGCAAGACTACTAATCTCTTGCAATTGAGAAAAATCATTACAAGTACGCATATGATAAATATAAACCCCTTAGGTTGACAAGGACCCTTTTGTAGATCGAACTTCATTTCGAATGTTAAGGATCATATAGAATCCAACATTTGAGGTCGAAGTCCAGAGTCTGCAGGAAGATTAGCCAAGACTTCTTGCAACTCACTATATTTCGAACTACCCACATTTTCCAAACTACTCACATTATCTGAACTACTTAACTAAAAAAGTCAACCTATGCTCAAAAACCAAACCGAACAGCTTTGGATCAGTTCCCGTCTTGATTCTTGTACTAAAAAAAAGGGAATAAATTGGACCGGACAGGTGATGTTAAGTTTACTTATTCATTTATATCCAAAATTATTAGTAAGCCTAATCAATATTCAAATAACATTAGTAACTCCAAGTAATATTATTTTTGCCCAATTAATACTCAAAAGTCTTAGTTCCAATTTATACCCAACTAAATAACTACTCTAGCTCAATTTCTTTTTCTTTTCAATGAACCATATATGTTCTTGTTGCGCTTCCATCTTTCTCTCTTTTCCACCTATTTCTTTCTATTTATCTCTTCACCTATTTCTCTCTTCTACCTATTTCTCTCTTATTTTATCTCTTCTACCTCTTTTCCTCTTATTTTATCCATTGTACATATTTTTCTATACATCATATTTCTCTCTTATTCACATATTTATCTTTTTATCTTTTTAAACTAGAAATCAGGCCGAACCAAATCAAAACCACATAGGTCCGGTTTGATTCGGTTCTTATAGACACTTTCTATAAAAACAGAGCTGGATCGTGTGTAAGTTTCGATTTCAATTCAAATTTGAGGAGAAAATCAAATCGAACCAAACCGTGTCTACCCTTACTAGAGGGTGGTTGGGGTGGGGAAGTCATTAGATTGGGTGAAGGTTGGGTGGGATTAGGAGTTGGAGTTAGGGATTTACAATTTGAATGTGAGAATTGAGTTAGAATGACGTCGCTTTGACACTCAGGAAGAAAAAAAAAATAAGGGAGAGGGGGAGCACATTGCGCATGCAAGCAATGCTCGATAGTCTGTGCTGCAGCATTTCATCAAACATTGCCACCTTATATGACGGATTCCAGCATTGCGGGGGTCAATTGACCATGTTTGTTCCTTTGTGGATCTAACACTACCACCATCATCATTATTATTAGAGGAAACAAAAAAATTTCAATGGGTCTTAACTCTTAACAAAAAAAAGAGAAGAAAAAAAAAGTTACCGTTGTTTTGTTCATAAATTTGCACATCAAATGTGTTTCTCTAGCATAACTCTTTCAAGTGTTTTTTCAAGTAACATTTGAATTTTTAATATAAAAAAATGCTTATAATTTTTAGGGCTAACGACAAAAGACAACCTGATGGTTTAGGGTCATTCTCAAATTGGACCCTATAGTATCAATTTTATCAATTCACGCCCTAACGTTTTCAACATCGTCCAATTTCATCCTTCTGTTAAGTTGATCAGACGATCAATCGTTAACTGCTGACGTGGCACCCGTGGGACCCACCCCAACAGCGCTTTGACCATTCCGCGCATGCCAGTTGAAGGGCAGTTTTGGGTTTCGACAATTCAAAACAAAAGAACATCGTGCCCAAATTGGGCACGCTTTGCAAGAGCTGGAGATCGAAGAGAAAGCCCCAAATTCATCCTCAACCTCAGTTTAACCTAAATCCTAAATTTCCGTAGCTGAGAGCTCATATCTACGATTTCGAAGAAGTTAGTCGCCGAAAAGGTGTATTCGAGTGTATTGGCTCCTTAACCCAGAAAACGAAGGAGAAATGGAGAATACGGAGATGGTGTGTTGGTGTGGTAAAAATGCGAGAATCCGAATCTCGTGGACAATTTCAAATCCTAGGAGGTGATTCGCTATGTGTGCAAAGGTAAAAAAAATTGGATTTGGTGCAAAATATTAGATTTTGAATTGTAGCAAGTGCAAATATTAATTTACAGAGTGGATTTTGTGTAGAGTAGAGGAGGTTGTGATTTCTAGGTTTGGTATGATGTGGAAATGTGTGAAAGGTCTAAAGTTGTGATTCCGAATTTTGGATAGCATTGGTGGTGTCATGGATGTTTATTGCAATGTTATTCTTTGGAGGGAATGGTGGATCAGATGGACTAAAGCTGAAGACTTTGGAATTGCCATGACATGGGGTGTTTTAGGGATGCACTGTGCTTTTGGTATGGGAAGTACTGTGCTTGTGGTGTAATGTAGTGTGTTTTTGGTTAGGGTCTGCACTATGTCTTTGGTATGAAAAGCAGTGTGCTTTTGGTTATGTAATGGGAATGAACATTTTGCATTTTGGTTATGTAATGGGAATGGCTATGTAATCTGCATACAATGTGAAATTTTGGTAATGCAATAACCTGTTCATTCCAACAACTTGTTTGTACAACATATGAACAAATTCATTTCCACTTGCAGCATTACAACAAAATATGCCACATAATAGCATATCCCCTTGTAGCATTACAACAAAATAGGCCACATAACAACATATACAACCTTCCAAAAGAACACAACTTGTTTTCCACAAAAAAAAATACAGTACCTGTTTTTCAAAAAAACAGAACCTGTCTTATAAAATATCACAAGCTATCTTCCTAACATAAGGCAACTTGTCTTCCAAAATAACATAATAACCTAATCCAACCAGCTAATAAAGGTAAAATTGCTTCTGATAACAAAATAACCAAACCAGCTAATAGAACACAAACAAGTGTGCAAGACCATCATCATTCCTTGCTCAAGTTTGATGCTCCCACAACCATAGGCTGTTTCCTCAATAAATAAGAATTGCTAGTTAAAGTTTCAGTTAATGCAAGAGGGGCAGATCCACTTGTAGGATGGGCAGATGTTGAGGATGGAGCAGCTAAATCAGTTGGTGGTGCATTTGAACTTCCAACTGCAATGGTGGTCTTTCTCTTCCATTTTCCTTTCAGCACAGATCTTGCAGGCTTAGCTAGCGTTGATGTTGTACTAGGACCAGCTTCACTTGTTTGAGTAGTTTGCTGGAATAAGGCAACAAATAATAAACTGTTAGTTGCATCATATTCTAAAAACATTAAAATTTACAAAATTAACAAATGTTCATCCTTAGATGTTTACCTCAGCCTTCCTCTTTTTTATTTTTGTTTTTGGGGAGAGATTCCTATGACAAGTCCTTTTATTATGGCCATTTTTTCCACATTGGCCACACTTCAGTGAGTCTTGAACTTTTGTAAGAACATTGGCCTTCACCTGCTTCCTTCCTTCTAGCCTTTCTTGGCCTTCCAGGTTGTTTGAAGTATGAAGGAGGCACACATTGTGGCATATTAGTTCTATCCCACAACTCCATCCCATTCATAGGTAGTATGAGGTTTTCATATGCCTTGAAATATGTCTGAGTGTGATAACATGCATCCACATAATCCATTACGTTCAGGCTCCCATTGTAATTTATAGTTGCTACTCCATGAACACAAGGTCAACCAGTCAAATCTCATTATCTGCAAGAACATGTCCTCAAATCCAAGTCCACAATATACTGTGACATCTCACCACTGCCCAACTTGAAATTTTCCTCTACCTGACCACATAGTGACACAATCACCTGCTTTTGCCTTATTAATCTCTACCTTCTTAAAAATCTTGTGGCAAATTTCCTTTGTCCAATTCTTCATTTTGTCCCTTCTGCCTTGTATCCTCCTTATCAACTTACACCTAACTATCTCAAGCATAGTCAATATTAACTTATCTCTGCATGCCAATATGAATGAGTTGAATGACTCACACATATTATTTAAAAGCATATCACACTTCACATGAGTGCTGAAGTGTGATCGAGACCAATGCCTGGGAGGTTTTTCTGGTTCAGTCAACCAAGCATAAGCATCCTTATCAAGGTTTTTCACCTCTTCCATCTGTCTTGTAAACTGTGGAACAGTTGTTGCTTTTGCAGCGCCCTAGAATTTGTTAGACAAAGCTTTCCCTTTGAATTGCAATATGAAGTTGGTGAACAGATGTCTTGCACAAAACCTGTGTTCACTATTAGGAACAACTTGCTCAAAAGTTGGTAATAATCCTTTTTGCTTGTCTGATATGAAATTATATTCAAACTGGTTAACAATCTCTGCATCCTTTACCAGCAATTCCAAAAACCAAACCTATGAGTCATTGCACTCAAACTCAACCACTGCATACGCAATAACCCATGTTTCATTATTAGCATCTATACCAACTGCTGCTAAAAATTTCCCTCTATGTACACCCTTCAAGAAGCAGCCATCCAATCCAATAATGGGTCTGCATCCAGCAATGAACTCTGCTTTACATGCACCTAGGCACAGTGGCGGAGGCACTTGGGGACCAGTGCAGTCACTGGCCCCCACTGAAATTTTATTTAAAAAAAAATATAGTACTAGTATTAGGAGTCTAGCTATATGGATATGGGCCAAAGAAAGAAGATTTCAACCAAAAGTTAAGTCATAGTGGCGTTTAAGTCAAAGTGGCTTGGTCCAATAGATTTCAACGTGGGCCAGTCAAATATCCTAAAATTATACACTACCCATTCCTAAAAGGATTAGAATTATTATTATTATATATTACCTTCTAGTGTAAATCAATAAACTTAAGCCTTTTTCCCTTTTCTTAGGTCAGAAACACAACCAAACCAGACCAGCCAGTTGCTTGTGAGTTTTTTTTCTTCTCAAATTCTAATTAAATTATCAAGCTTTATTTATTTATTTTATATTTCTATTGATTTTAATGGGTCTTTCAATTTATGTGTAGATTACCAAAAGGAAAAGGCTTTGGTTGGAGATATTTGGTAAATCGCTATTCAACTCCAAGTATGTATTTGTCTATCCCTTGTAATTTTTCTTGCATAGTATGTAATTGCTTATCCCTTTAATGCAATTGTGAACTTATGTTGGTGAAATTTTAATTTTAATTTATAAATTTCTATATATATGATTCTCTATTAGTTTGATTAATATATTGCTTTGAATTGAATGCTCAATTTGCTTTGGTTTATAAGTTTGAGAAGATGTTCATAATTGTTTCGATTTAAATTTAGTTCATATATGTGTTTCAGTTATGGAAAGATTTTTCAAAAGAAAATCAAAGTCTGAGTTAGTGGAGTCGTCACCTGCAAAGTATGAGACGGTAGACGATAGTGATACACGATGGAGCTCCCATTATAATTGCTTAATCAGTTTGGAAAACATGTTCTCATCTGTGATAGATGTGCTTAAGATTGTAAGAACAAATGGATCAGGTTACGAACAAAAATTTGAAGCAAAGATTCTATTGACTTTTATGCAATCATTCAGCTTCATTTTTGGTCTACACTTGATGAAAAGAATTTTGGGAATCACAAACGACTTGTCTCAGGCATTACAAAAGAAAGATCAAGATATTGTGAATGTCATGGACTTGGTCAAAATATGTCAAGGAAGATTGCAAAGTATGAGAGATAATAGTTGGGATTCTTTACTTGATCAAGTTTCTTTCTTTTGTGGCAAGTATCATATTGAAATTCCTAAAATGGATGATATTTTTTCTAGTGGAGGGAGACCAAAACGTAAAGCTCAACCCATCACAAACTTACATCATTATCGTGTTGATTTATTCGTTGATGTCATTGATATTCAGCTCCAAGAGTTAAATGATCGGTTCAATGAGAAGAATATTGAATTACTTCTTTGTATGGCATGCTTGAGTCCAAGTAATTCATTCTCTGCTTTTGATAAAGCAAAGTTGATGCGACTTTCCCAATTTTATCCAAGTGATTTTTCTGAGCATGACCTCAAATTACTTGAAGAACAACTTGAGAATTACATTTCAGACGTGAGCTCTAACGATGAATTTATAGAATTGAAAGGGATTACTAATCTTGCGCAAAAGATGGTTGAGACAAAAAAAGATCAGATCTACCCTTTAGTGTACTTGCTTCTGACACTAGCACTAATCCTACCTGTTGCGACCGCAAGTGTAGAGCGAGTATTTTCTGCTATGAATATTGTGAAGAATCGGTTACGCAATCGAATAGGGGATTTGTGGATGAATGATTGTTTGGTTGCATATATTGAGAAAGACATTTTTAATAGTATAGATGACGAGGTTGTTATGCAACGATTTCAAAATATGAAAACTCGTCGAGGACAATTATGATTATAATGAATAGACAATATGATTTTTGATGTTTTGATGTCTTGTGAGTTCGAAGTTTTTATTGTTTATATTTTGTGAAAGGCCCCTAGACATATGAAATCTTGGCTTCGCCACTGCCTAGGCACACATATAACCTTTGAAACACTAGATGACCCAATTGTTCATTGAAATCACATTGAACTTTGGTTGTTGTTCCTGGATTGGTCTTCCTTAACTCTTCACAATAATCCCAAATTCTAGAGTATTATTCTGTGTATATTCATTCAATCTGCCTTAATGCCCTCTCTTTTGCCCTATAAACTTGTTGCCTAGAAACTCCAGTGTTATAATCCTTCTCCACAGTCTCTATGAATGAGCTAACTGGCCAACTAGACTTCACAGTAGGGTTCTCCCAAACAATACCACAAGTGTGTTCACCCTCATATTTCTTAACCTACAGGATCTTCTCATACTGCATTTTGGAAGCATATATCTCCCATGGGCAATCTAGTTCTGCACAAACTGCCTTTAGCTCGAAAGCCTCGCTTCTCACAAATACAACATCCATATTCCTCTTTATAAATTGTTCTCTAATAGCCGATCTAAAAACTTTACAATCACTTAACTTCATCCCAACATCAAACTGTGGATCTCCCATGTTAGTTGCCGGATTGAACTCTGGTCATCTATCCATCATTGGAGTGTCATCATCATAGTCATATTTAGGCTGCACATTATCATAATCATACTCCTCTGAATCTAGTTCAACATCTGCACCCTAATACCAAGATTCAACCCCAGCATTTGTTGACTCTGGCTCTTTTCCTTTTGCCCCATCTCGAACCCACTCAGTTTGTTTGTCCACCTGTTCATCAAAATCGACATCATCATCATTATCATCACAACTGAAGTTAGGATCTGCAAAATCAGAGTCAAGACTGTATACTGACTCCTCCTCATCATCACAGACTGTGGTCCTTTTTCTTGCTTTTCTTGTCTTCATTGGATGACATCTTGATAACTTGCTTTTTTCTACACTTCCTTCAACAACCTCATTCTCAACTAGTCCCTTAGTCACTGTATTGGACCTTTGGTCTTCTTTATCACATGTCTTTTTTACATTTTTGCAGCTCCTTTTACCAAAAGCTCTTGCCCTCCTTTTCCCAAACACATAACTGACTTTAATTTTCCATTTGTCTACAGTGGCAGAAGATTCCCTCTCAACAGCTTTTTCTTTGTATTTTTGCACTGCAGAAGATTCACTCTGTATTGTTTTTTCTTTGCTTTTTTCAGAAACACCATGTCTTGCACAAGATTCCCTTGGCTTTTGCATACCCCCACCACTTTGTTCCCCATTTGGGTCTTCATTGGAGCTATTCTATCACATTTTGTTTTTTTTTTTTGTCCATTGTTTGCATTTCCCACCAACAGGAACCATAGCCCTATAATTGTCATTAAGCTCCTCAATCACAACTCCTCTGTTAGGCACAATATCAACTTCTACATCAACAAACAGATTTGATCCTGATTGACTATAAAACCAACCCTCATTACTATCAACCCCATGATGTAAGAAGATTTCTATTAGCCTTGTCTCTGGTACAAATACAAGCATGTCTATGACATCTTGATCATCATTTAGCTTTGTTAGGCCACCATTGTTATAGATAGGGATACTATACCAGTAACTAATCACCTCACCATAGCCTAACTCCCTCACTATATTGTCTATCTCAGTCATTGACATTCTATCCTTGTCACAATAATCAAACCAAGCTACACTGCCAGAAGCATAACAGTTACCACAGATTTGACCACCATGGTACATTCGAATAGAAAACAATTCATGATCACCTACATATTGCATGTCCCAAACATTGGTTATTTTCAGTTAAAACATAAAACACAACACAAAACATAGTATTCAAACAAAGTATTCACACATTACACAAAAACCATAACTCACTTTTCAATTATTTTTAGTTTAGGACCATTATAGAAAATGCCAAATTTTTATTAAACAACCCTTTTCACACTCTTCCACCTAACACTTTTGCCTTACTAAAAGCAGACGCTTTGACCTTATTAAAGGCAGACATTGCCAACACATACTTAGCTTGAAGGACCACCTATATTCGAAATCTGCAAAAAGGCCACCTATATTCGACAAAATCTTTCATACTTCTCCCACTATTCCACATATATTATAAAACGCAACATTCAAACCAAAATAACTCATACGACCTCTAACCCATTCAACATAGATATCCCAAATCGCAAAAAATTTAAACCAACTTACCGTACGAGGGATGCGGAGCGCTTGGAGCCCTGAAATCCCAACTCATTTCTTCTTACTTCTTCGAAATCGTAGAACTTGTTGTCAGCTATGGAGATTTAGGATTTATGTTAAACTGAGGTTGAGGACGAACGACGTTTTAGGGCTTTTTCTTCGGTCTTCTTCTTGCAAAGCGTGCCCAATTTTGGATGCGATGTTCAATTTATTTATTTTTTTGAATTGTCGAAACCCAAAACTTCCCTTCAACTGGAATGTGCAGAATGGTCAAAGCGCTAGTGGGGTGGGTCCCACTGATGCCATGTCAACAGTTAACGATTGACTGGTTTGGTCAACTTAACGGAAGGATTGATGGTTTTAAAAACATCAGGGCTTAAATTGATAAACTTGATATTGTGGGGTCCAATTTTGAGAATGACCCTAGAACCTTTCCCCCCCCCCCTTTTTTTTTTTTTTTTTTTTTTATTTTTAAACAATAATAGCATGAGTAAAAGTGAATAAAACCCAAGAAACCCCAAAATGAAAACTTTCCTGGGCATTCCAATACTTATGAGCTCACACTCTCACACCAACAGCGGAAACCCCCCAAATAAAACCCAAAAATGAAAACTTTCCTCTTCTCTCTCCTAAAACCCCACACCACGTCTGAACCCACCAAGCTTCTTCTACATCACCACCACCAATGGCGCGGCATAGCCAAGGTCCGCCTGAAATGGGTCAAGAATCGGAGCTTAGACCACATTATCGACACCGAGACCGATCTCAAAGCTGCTTGCCTCCTCAAAGACGCCATCAAGCGATCGCCAACTGGCTTCCTTACCGCCAAGTCCTTCGCCGATTGGCAAAAGCTTCTCGGCCTAACTGTCCCAGTTCTTCGCTTCATGCGCAGGTACCCTACTCTTTTTCAAGAATTTCCACATGCCCGCTATGCCAATTTGCCCTGTTTTAAGTTAACAGACACTGCACTATTGTTAGACTCACAAGAACAGAGTATACACCAAACCCATGAGAGTGATACTGTGGAGAGGCTTTGTAGAGTACTTATGATGACAAAAAGTAAAACTATACCGCTCCAATCTTTGTATCCCTTGAAATGGGATCTGGGTTTGCCTGATGGTTTTGAGAAAGTGTTGGTTCCAAAATACCCAGATTGTTTTAGAATCATTAAGGCCTCAAATGGGATTGGTTGCTTGAAGGTCATACAATGGCCCAAGGAGTATGCGGTGTCGGAATTGCAGAGGAGTAAAGAGGGTGGCGATTTAGGGGATGAGTATAGACAATTCAAGAGGGGGCAGACTGTGTTGGCATTCCCGATGAATTTTCCGAAGGGTTATGGAGGGCAGAAGAAGGTTAGGGTATGGATGGAGGAGTTTCAGAAGTTACCATACATTTCGCCATATGAGGATTCCAGGCATATTGATCCTAATAGTGATCTTATGGAGAAAAGGGTTGTTGGAGTTTTGCATGAGTTATTGAGCCTGACTCTTCATAAGAAGACCAAGAGGAACTACTTGAGAAGCTTGAGAGAGGAACTAAATCTTCCTCATAAATTTACGAGAATTTTCACAAGGTATCCGGGGATTTTCTACCTCTCATTGAAGTGTAAAACAACCACTGTTGCTCTCAGGGAAGGGTACCAGAGAGGGAAATTAGTGAATCGGCATCCCCTCACATGCGTGAGAGAGAAGTTTTATCATGTCATGAGAACAGGGCTTCTTTATCGCAGTAAAGGTGTGCACTTGCTATCCCCACAAGAGATTTTACTTAACAGTGTGGAGAGTGAAAGTGGGGCGGAAGAATCTGAAGAGGACGAGGTTGGAACAGGTGATGAATGCTATGAGGATGAAATGTCAAATTTGGATTCAGAAGGGTCTGATGAAGATTAATGTTTGTATCAGAGAACTTCAACATTTTGCTTGAATTGGATAGAAGCCATTATTGACTTTCAAGTAAGAAATTCTGAACAAAAGTTCCCTCTATAGAGTTTTCTTGTTTATGGATAAGAGAGAAGATCATTTTCATATTTTATTGTATTATCTTTGTGCTAACTTTGTTTGTTTTGTGGGCTCGCTGCTGATGCAGTGGAATCTACTGAAGTTGATTAAATTTTCTTGCACAAAAATTGATAGGGAGTTTAACATTTAGGTTATTCGGATTAGTTGAAAAATCAAGGTTAACATGGGCCTTCAGACTCTAAAAGTTCACATTCTGTTGGTTTTATTTAGGTTATTCGGATTAGTTGAAAAATCGAGGTTAACATGGGCCTTCAGACTTTAAAAGTTCACATTCTGTTGGTTTTTCTTGTAAGTAAAATGGAGATTTCGAAGAATCCATGTTTTGTTCAAAAGGCTTTTTGTTTGCCGAATTTATATTTCATTTCTAGACTCAAACATTTTAAATTGCATCCAGTTTTGGATCTGGGAACTTATGAACCGATGAATTGAAATGATTACCGGATTATGGAAACAATAGCAGGGGAAGTGGCCCTATTAAACCTTAAGGTTTAGGGTGAATTTTCAGTACTCTTGGACAGCCTTTTGAAATATTTTTAAAACATGCTTCAGAATTTTAGGGAAGCATGCTGTCTAGGGAAGAATTTTTCTTTTTTCCTGGAAAACTACTTCAATTATCTTCCAACTTGGTAACAAATTTCAGATGTAGTGTTCACTTTTTTATCTTCTTTTCTTTTTTTTTAGCGAAATTTAATCTGAAGATTTTTCCTTGAATTTTGTTCTGCTTCCTGTTGCCACACCATTGTGCTGCCACTTTGATACGTGGTCTCTTATCATGTTTTGAGTGCTGTTTGGCAACATGTTATTCAAATACTTCAAAGTGAACTAGTTCCCCAGCGTGCAGAGACTTGCTATGTTGTGCTGGATCCAGGATTCCCAGTGTTGTATATTGTAATTTCTTCCTGAGCATTCAAGACTTCGCACCAACTTGTAGATTTGGGGTTTCGTTATTTGGGATAAAACCACAAAATCACTAAATTTCATTATTGTCAAGATGGATATAATGATATTTCTTTATTTTTCCCTCTTGATGTGTATTTGTCCTGTGTTTCATTACATCATGAGAGAGAGAGAGAGAGACAGAGACAGAGAGAGAGAGAGAATCATATAAGTATGTTAATATGGCGAAATTAGTTATAAAGAATTTGCTCCAGAATGTATATAAAGAAGGAACCATTGCTTTTGGTGAGAGTTGGCTTGCTTAATTCTCGCTTTTCGATTGCAAACTTTGCTTGTGAATGATAAATTGGACATTTTGGAATCTTAAACTAGACTGAATGATTGTCTGCATGAATATTGCTTCTCCTTTTACATGAGAACAATCCTAAGCGTTACAACATGTCTGTAATCTTGACCTAGACTGTTGCTGCAGGGTGGTGTGGGTTGCTGCCTGCGTGATTCTAGGGGCAGACTGTTGGCTGGTATGAGTAAGGCTACTCTCCGGAACTCTGCAGTAGAAGTGGAAGCGGAAGCTGTTTTGGAAGGGCTAATTCTAGCAAAAGAGAAAAATTGTCAGAAAATCATTCTAGAAAGTGATTCAATGGATGTTGTCTCTTGTATGAGGAACGAAAATCTGCGCGGCAATTGGAGAATCATCCCTATTATCTTGGAGATCAGGAGACTCTCTTCATGGTTCACCTCTGTCAAATGGGAATGGGTATCTCGCCAAGCAAATCAAGCTGCTCATGCTGCTGCAGCTCTGTCAAATATGAGGGTGCGAACTTTGCGTTGGGCCTCACAGCCTCCTCCCTCTATGGTTCGGGTATTGGCTAAGGACGGTTTGCCGTGCCCTCCTAGTAATTAGTTCTGGTTATTAGATATGTTTACTTGTTGTATTTCCAGTTTCTATCTCCTGGGAGGTATCTTTGGCCTCCCTGTGATTTGTTTGTATTGCTCTTGGGTTCTCCCCTGTCCTTGTATGCTTCTTCTTGCAACTTCCTGTTTGGTGCTGCTGGAGCCTTCTCTGGCCTTTAATGAAGTATTATTCAGACCAAAAAAAAAAAAAAAGACCTAGACTGAATGATATTTTGTTTCAGCCCTTCAAGTAGTGGCCTTCTCAGGTGAACCAGTAAGGCCGAGCATCATTTCAAGTTTAACATGAAGATGATGGTCCAATGGTGTAGGATGACTTCTCTTCACGGTGAAATCTCCGAAAATCTTCCAAATAGTGGACATGAAATGCAGCGACCAAGGCACCTAATTGAATTGATGTAACAGCAGAGAATGAAGTTGTAAAGTATTTTCACAGAGAAAACGCTACTGGATTCGATAGGGGCTGTATAATCCCAAACAAACAGCAGATCTGCTTGTACCATTTAGGTCAAGGGCAACAATGTATCAAATTCTCAACCCCAATTTTGAACAAAGAAAATTTTCAGGGAAAGTTAGGTGGATAATAAATAGCTTGATTCCTTTGATCAGCCTCGTTGCCATTGCCTTATTTGTGAGATAAATGTTGGTGCATTTTCAGCTGTATTTGGCTCTCATTAAGTTATGTTTCAAATAGTTTAAGGTTAACCGCCATGGGAGAGGTATTGCAGAGCGCAACGCTCATCCATGGCATTGTAATCTTTAATTAAAAAGGGGACCAAAACAATTACAGGGGGGCAAAACTAAATGTATTATTCACATTAACCACCCCACTAATAACAGTCCTCTCCTCAAAATTCACCAGAGCAGTTACCACATCAGAACCACTAACTCAACAACAGAGAGAGAGAGGAAACAGAACATATGATCCATGAATTTCGAAGAAAATTAATGTTTTATATACTCAAGAGTAAAAAAGGACAGGAATTATGGAACACTAATCCCAAGCACTGGTCATCCCGTTACTCGGACCATAACCCCCAGGGGCCCCACCATAGCCACCGGGAACCCCATATCCCCCACTACTGTTTCCCCCACCGTAGAAATCTGCACCCCTAGTGAAGGAGGAGCTCTCCCTTCTAAAATCACGGCCACCAAAACGACCTCCCCCAGATCGCCGATTCCTACCGCCGCCACCATAAGAAACCCTTGATGCATAACGAGTAAGCCAAGCAGGTACTTCTTGATTTGCCTCTTGCATTAGATCAGCAAGTGGTTTCGCCATTGATAAATTATTCTCGTTAAAGAATGCTGTTGCCAATCCTGATTTGCCCCGCTCGCCCTGTCCTACCTATCCGGTGAACATAATCATCAATGTCATTTGGGAGATCAAAATTTACCACATGAGCTACATGGGGGATATCAAGACCACGTGCTGCCACATCTGTTGCCACTAAAATTGGTGTATTCCCACTCTTGAATGATCTCAGTGCCTGTTCTCTTTCCTGCATACAAGCACGCCGTATCGTAATAATGTCAGAACTCAGATTTATGCTAAACTTGCATGACCATCATTTACACCCAAAAAAAGGACTACAATTGACAACCAAGTGAAGTGAAGTGAAGCTTTCTATAGAGAATCTTCATTTTGCAGTCATGAACTTCCTGAAACTCATCTTCATTTAAATTTAATATATTAACAAGAAAAAAGGATGACTTGCAGTAGAAACAGACACTAAAACCTTTCTGCAGGAAAACCAGAAACATAATTTACTCAGTTATGGCATCAAAATAGCTCAACAAAGAGTTCTTTTGCCTTTTTGCCACGACATATGATCAGAAACTTAAGTCAGCTTATCTGGCCCCCAACCTACCAACCACGTAGAGCTCCCTCCTGGCTCTTGGTAAACAGGAGAGAGAGAGAGAGAGAGAGAGAGAGAGAGAAAGAGCATAAAATCTCAGACCTATAAAATAGGGCATGAAGCTACAGAGAAAGCATACTACAAAACTCCAAGGTTTAATTTCTTTCTTCACCAAGAACATTTGTCATTAACAACACATATCACAGATACAAACAATACTCCAAGGTTTAACTTCCTTATTCACCAAGAATAATTGTCACTAAGGACATAAATACCAGACACAAACAATAGAAAACATATATCACTTCTCATAACTATAAACCTAAATTCCAACCAGCTTACCTGTTGTGTTCTGTCACCATGAATAGTAGTTGCCGGAAACCCATTCATACACAACCAGTGTTCCAATGCATCGGCTCCCTTCTTTGTCTCCACAAAAACTAATGTCAGGGATTGCTGAAAATTGAACAACAAGCGATTATTAATACAATGCAAGATACTGACAGAATCTATCAACCCAAATGGAACATATAGCCTTGGAATTAGTAGCTTAAGCAGTATATATCAATTATTCCAATAATCAAAAGAAATTTAACAAAGAAGTCCAAGTTGATAATTTTCCTTTTCCATATTACCTTGCCATGAACTCCATTTTCCCTCTGTGCATGAAGGAGGTCCATGAGATGACTTCTTTTATCAGACTCGTGAACGAACTCAACTCTTTGAACAATTAAATCAGTACTTGAACCAACCCTTCCAACAGCCAAAAATATATAATTTGAAAGAAAATCTGATGCCAGTCGCTGCATACCAACAAAATATTGCAAAAGCTATTAGATAATTTCCATTTGGAATTCCACTATTCAGTACATCTTTTAAGGGCAATCAAGTCAAAGGAACATATCTCAATAAAATGTTCATAACACACCAATACGAAATATGTAAATGCCAATAATTAAAGACAAATCCAACAGAAAACCCAGTTAATAATTAAAACAAACCTGTATCTCCTTTGGAAAGGTAGCACTAAATAGCATGGTCTGTCTCAAACCTGGTGGAGGCATGTCCATCTGTTCCACTATCTTCCTAATTTGAGGCTCAAAACCCATGTCCAGCATCCGATCTGCCTCATCAAGAGCTAAATATCTTATCATCTGCAATGACACTCTTGCCCTCTCAAGCAGATCTACCAATCGTCCTGGAGTTGCCACAAGAATATCCACCCCCCTCTCAAGCTCTCTCAACTGACAGAATATTAGAAAACAATACAGTAGGAGGTGAACCTTCAAAAACAAAACAATACAAAAATGCAAAAGGGACAGAAAGAATAGGTATAAAAAGAAATGTGCTTAAATTATAATACTTTGGATGGGCTAGGGACCAAATTTTAATACAAGTCAGCCAAAAACATCTCCCACCATATTCAACTATAACCAAAATTATGATCATTGATCAGTTTGCAAACTCTCTCTCTCCCTCTCTCTTAAACATATAAACCTAAAACCCACCAATCCTTTACAAATTGAGCCTTCATTTTGTAATTAAAAAAATTATTTGCTCAAATAAATTTTACAAAATATAAACAAAATAAATAAAATAAAAAGTGGAAGAGGAAGAAGAAAGGCATGCTGTAGCAAATAAACTATAACCCGATACATTTCCATAGGGAATTAATATTTTCTAGTTTCAAATAGAAGATGTACATGCACTCTGTATCACAATTGCCAAAAGCAGAAATGGAAAAAAGTGGTATAAGCTTTAATGTTGGGTAGTTGAAAACAGGGAACATATATATGAAAGTGATCAAGAATCCAAAGTATCAGTAAACCACAACCTATGTCAAGTTGTACGAACCTGATGGTTTATTGGTGCTCCTCCATAAGCAACTACCACCTTGACACCAGTTTGATAAGAAAATTTTCTAGTTTCTTCATGTATCTGCAAGCCAGTCAAAATAGAAACGACAATAAGCTATTGCATATACACCACAAGATTACACATGATGTGACTAGCATAACAACAATCCAACCTGGCAAGAGAGTTCTCTAGTAGGGGAGAGAATAAGAGCAAGAGGGTACACAGTACGTGCTCCACGAGGTCTCTGAACATACTGCCCCTGCATGATTCCACTAATAATTGGAAAGCAGAAAGCAGCTGTCTTCCCTGAACCCGTCTGAGCACAAGCCATTAAATCCCGCCCTCCAAGAGAAATAGGTATTGCATGACGCTGAACAGGAGTCGGCTTCACATACTTGCACCTCTGAATATTTAAATTCAAAGCCTCCCCTAAGTCTATCTCTGCGAAAGTATTCACAGGTGTTGGCACATTATCCCCACTAGTTTCAACCGGGATATCCTCATAAGCATCAAAGTTAATGACAGTGTTTTCTTGATCACTAAATGCAGGTTCTGTGATGTCTTCATCAGCAAAAGGGTTTACCTCACGATCCCTCCCACGGTCCCAGCCTCCGCTTCTATTGTTCCAACCACCAACATTCCGACCACCACTGGAAACATATCCTGGGCGCCCCGCATCATGTCTAGAACTACCAGCACCCCAGGCGGGCCCAGCTGCAGGCCCACTGTTACCTACACGGTCATTAGCTGGTGGTGGGGCAGACTGTGAAGGAGCCGGAGGATCAGAAGACGGTGGCCTATTACGAAGATGTGGCGGGACATAAGTTGACCGTGCAGGGCGAAATGAGCTGTTATTATCAGATGCACCAGTGGTTGGATTATCTGCTTGAGAATTAGCAACAGAATCTGCCCATGAAGTTCTCATAATTGGAAAAATGCGACCCCTTCTTTTCCAATAACAGCAATTAGTAACCTAATGCACCAAACACACAAAATTAATTTTAAAAAAATTAAAATTGGACTCCAAATCAAAATTTTCTCCATATAACTTGCAGCCTTGATCAATCTTACCACTATACCGTTCAATCTAAACAATCAGACAAATAATAAGGGCAAAAACTATGTTTTTTTTTTGTTGGGAACTATGTTATTAAACAACAAAAATATGCCTACAAAATTTATGGACGAGGACTAGCCTACAAAAATTATCAAAATAAACTGGTCAATGGAAATATCAGTTACAATTATATAACACTAAGCTAGAATAACAATTTTTCTGAAAAATAACGTGATTAAACCAATAAAAATTAAATTTTTTGGAAAGAGTGATTAGTTATCGCAATAAACATCATGCAGAAAGTTCAAAATGAAAATCTGAGAAAGAAGATCAAACTAAAACTAAGCAAACAAAAGTTAAGACTAGATCAAAATTTAGAAAACTGGGCAATGTCGTTATACGAAAACCGGGAAGAAAAAAACACAGGTTCGAGTTTCGAAACGAAAATTATAGCAGGCATTCAAAACAGCAGATTAAGACATACAAAACGATTAACAAGCACGACGACATAGCTAAGAGATGCAAAATTGTAGACACTGAGAGAGCGTCGAACCTCGGGAGAAAACGAGCAGTGAGAACAGCGTTGGATCGGGAAACAGGAATTTGGGTAACCCTAGCTTTTCTGAGAGCAGGAATGGCAGGATCGGAGGGCAAGCGAAGATATCGCTTTGGTTTTCTTTATCTTCGTCAATGAGATTTTTTTGGGTTCCTTGAGATTTTCTTCTCCTTTTCAAATGGGATCAAAACTCTTTCTTTTCCTTTTCTTTTTCCCTTTTCTACGCTGCCAAACGTGTCGAGGAAAATTTTTAATTTAAAAATAAATAAAATGAAAAATATCTTAAATTCATTGGCGTCCGTACAATTTGTGGGAGATTATTGGCTGCTGTCATAAAAATAACCCAGCGGTAAAGCGTGAAATTGTGAGGGTTAATCCGTAGATTTGAGGTTAAAACATAGATTTTCTCATGTGAAATATGTGCGGTAAATTTTCAACACGTCTCGTTTTGAGGTTTTTAGGTGAGCAGGACTGTCAAGAGTAATACAAAATAAAAGAGTTATGGTTTTCAAACTCTTTAATTTAGAAGTTTAATTTAAACATGAAATGTTACGTATGTATGATCTTTAAGTTGAATTCAACTACAAAACTTTTATTGCGTTGAAAATATAAACTTGTTTAAGGAACAAGTTAATCGTGTACTTCGACCTAATAGTAAACTAATTACGTGTGTCATCTCGTTTTTATATGTAATAATGGTGTTGTGGTGGGTGTGTTGAAAACATTAGACATGATTATTACACGATTAATAATCTTGTCTTGTTGATGTGAACCCAATTAGTCTAATACATGTGTTTCAATCCTATACGAACACAACCCACAAACTGAACTAGGATTGCCACTCGTAAATATACCGATGTCATGTCTAATAGATGTGACTTGATTTTCCTTTCTTCCAATCAAATTTGCTCTCAATTCCAAGGCAATAACCGGGATGAGAAGGAATCCAAAATGATCCGTTTCGATTTTTCAGCATTGGTAAACCTTTGTTTTTTTGGTCAACACAGTCGTTGTCCATTTTTTTGACTTGGTTCGACTCGCTCCACCTATTCATCAGTTCAAATGCCCACCCTTTAGTGAGAAATCATTGATCAAGACCTCCAAGGCGCCCGTGACTTCGCATCACAGGTTTGTCCTTGACAACTTTTAGAATTCCAACACTTATTTTTTGGTATGAGGCACAAAGTAAGTTCTTCTCAAGAAAGTAAATGGTTGAATGTATTGTTGTATTCTAAACGTCGAATAGTACAATACATATATACAGGCATAGCCTTCTATCAATCCTACTGTTAAGGCTTTGAAGCTGCGATCCAATATTAGTGGGATTTCACCTACACTAATTTGGGCAAGTAAAGATATTACAAATATTTACAAAGATAGTTCTTGATGGTTCTTCGATTTACACTGATTTTGTATATGTGGGTTAGGCCAGTTATTCAAGGACAGTGAATCCATCCCTTACACTCAAGTTCGAATCTCATCCTTGTAGTAAAATACAAGTCTATTCATTTTTATATGGAAACACCAAAGCTCTTAACACTTTCTCCGACATGTCATTGAATATTAACTGTCATAACAATTCATCTCAAATGCTACTATATTTTTTTTAAGGGAAATGAAACCATTTATAAGCTAAAACGAAGCACATAAGTAGATTTAAAGTTATTTATTTATTTCTCTATATAAAAATTATTAGTGCGTCCGAATGAGCCATCAAATGTAGTTTTCGCTCTGTACCTTGAAAAACTTGTTTATCTGCCTCAAAACAAGGCCAATTACGTTAGCGCCATCAATGGAGGCCAACCTATAATTGCCTCTATCAAGATAATGCTGGTAACTTCCTCGCTAACCTCAATTGAGGTTGCAGTATTGGTCTCCATAAAGGCCGAATATTGCTCTCGGTGTGGAGAAACACTTGTGTAAAAAGTACTTATGTCATATTGTAATAAATGTAAAATGACATATAATTTTTGTTGAGATTTATAATGTCATGAAATGTGTGTCATCTTATTGTCGATTTATCCCACCGCATGACAAGTTCTCTCCATCAACGGATGGTTTATTTTAAAAAAAAATTATATATATATATACATATATATATTAGGGCTTAGTCCTTTTATGTCATTTGGAATAACAAGAAAATCCTCAACGTGGGTGTAGTAACTAAATTATGGGGTGCATTTAGAAGCTCTCTAATTATTCAAAGAGTGATATACAGGTTTGGGCCGGGCCTATCAGTCAATCCCACACTAACGAAACGAACGGCGTCCAATGTAAGAATAGAAACTCCGTAAGGGTAATTATGTAATTCAACCATTACGTGGCAGCAGGTGGCGTATAATGCAACGCCTACACACCCACTCGCTCTCTCCTTCACGCGCTCTCTCATTTTTGTCTCCGTCCTCTCACCTCTGCTTTAAGCACGATCAGAGAGTGAGGACCGGAACCAATCTCTGAATCTGGGGTTAGGGTTATCCCTAATCCGAATACCAGTAATCCCAATTCGATTCTCGAAACAGAGAGAAGCAAGATGGGCGTCAATTCTATATCCTCGGATACGAGCAGTGATCTGAACGAGCAGATCGAGCAACTTATGCAGTGCAAGCCACTCTCGGAACCACAGGTTTTGTACATTCTTCATTTCTTGAATTCCTTTCGTTTTTGCGGATGATTGACTGGTGTTTGATTGGGAAATTTGGGGATTAGGGTTGGGTTGCATGGAAAATATAGGAAAGGAAATGGATTCATGGGATTTTTTTAATTTTCTGTTGGATTTGTGAGGATTTCTAATTCTGATTGAATTTGAGTTGGCATGTTTGTATATAAAGAAAAGTTTTCTTAGCAACTAAATGGGGGATTTTCTTTTTCTTGTTTGTGTTTTTGTAGTGATGTAATTCAGATTCTGTTTCTTGTGATTTTAAAACAAATTCTTTACTTTTTCTTAAATTTTTGTGCTTTGATTTGTTTACAAATTATTGGGACAAGTAGAGATAACTTATGAGCTCTATTTAGTAGTGATGCCGAAAATATGAGCTTTAAAAAAATGTGGCAACTATTGATGTGGGCTATTTTTGGATTTGGAAGTTGTTTTTCACCAAAATCAGTTTTAGAGATGAATCATTTTGTTATGATTTTGAGCGAGGTGCTGGGTATTTTGAATTTTTTAATGGAGGAGGGGTAAATATGTTTTGGTACTGAAATTTAACGATTTTGTGGGAAAGTTGTGAAAATATCCCACCATAGAAATGGCTATGGATAATGTCTGTGAAGTATTCTATGTCAAGATTTGCTGCAGTTTTTTCAAAAAAGAAAAAATAATCTTCTGCTTTGAGTATCAAAACCGTCCCTCTTCAACATCCACTTCATATCTTTTCTGAAATATTTGTAATCAGTGTAGCAAATAAAGTTCCCAATTTTCTCTCTTCTCCAACATGATCTTTTCTTTGTTGCTTCATTGTAGGTGAGAGGGTTATGTGAGAAAGCAAAGGAAATTCTAATGGGAGAAAGCAATGTTCAGGTGCAGTCTTTATTTACTGTTATTTCATTTTGCATGGGTCTTCTTTAACTCTTAATTTCTGGAATATATTTCAATTTCAATTTCTGGATGTGTGTGTAGTGGGAAATGCATCTTGTCTCGGAGACATCAGGGAAGCCGTGTAGGCTCCTTTTTTATTTTTAAAGATAGTATCGTATTGGACTTTATGTGATTAGTTCAGAAGGTAATATATTACTATTGTAGTTATTACTCATATAATTTTTGGCTAGTATTGGTTAAAAGAGATTAGCGTAATGAGATAAAAGTGTTAATATTGTTATTCATCTGAACTAGTTGATCTGATGTTGGCTTAGGAATGGCTACTTTATGTGCAGGAAGGTTTTAATTTTTTTTTGTAATATTTTTATTTGTTGTAATGTTATGGTTGATCACTATCCACTATCATTGCATTACAGCTCTGTTTGAAATTCACTTGAATAGTTAGATCTTTCAAATTATACAGGGAGACATTAATTTTTTATTTTCATGTACTACAGCCTGTGAAAAGCCCAGTGACAATTTGTGGTGATATTCATGGGCAGTTTCACGACCTGGCAGAGCTTTTTCGAATTGGAGGGAAGGTATCAGTTCTGACTATGACCTTTTCTATTCAATTCTTCTGTGTCAGTCTTGTCTTCCTTTATTTGGGTTTTAAAATATACTTTTTATTATTATTTGTCAACCTTCTTATCAAGGTCTATCTTAAATGATATTATTTTCTTTGACAGTGTCCTGATACCAATTACTTGTTTATGGGAGATTATGTGGACCGTGGTTATTATTCTGTTGAAACCGTGACGGTATGTAACCATTAATTTACTGGATTTTCTTATGGTCCTGACAAAATATCATTTGAAATTGCACAAATTGTAGTATCATGAAGTACTGCTGTAGATTTGTTTTTCAGTTCCCGTTCTAGTATATGCACAGACAAGTACAAGAACAACTAATAAAGAGATATTCCAGTGCCTTGTTTATATTTTGATTCTCAACACTTGGTGCTCAATTTGTGAAAAGCTTGGCACAGTTTTCATTTTGCATCATTTTATTTAGTGTATGGGCGGAAGGGTAAGGTTGTTTGCCTTCTCTAAGTTTTAAAAAGAACTTCCTAAACTCTCGGTGTTGATTTAAAAATTACCAAGTAAATGAATATTGTGTGTGCATATACAATATTACTTGTATGTGAGTGCTTTACATTTGATTTAAAGGCACTATCCCTTTTTTTTTCAGTCAATAAAATTTTCTTTGAAATTCTGAGTGACAATCTATGGAATTCAGGCTAGCATTGGGGTGAGTGCATTGTTTATGATATACATCATATAAGGGCGCCAGTCATGATTTGGCAAGACAATCCATCCAGTTAGGGGCCAAATCTTGTCAAATCACAATGCTTCAATTTTTTACTAGCTTTGTATAAAGTTGGTTTTTTTTCCCCCTTAAAAATATGTGCCATCTGATGTCTGTTTAGCAATTTTTCATTATTTTCATGCTTTTAAAATTTGATGCTGATAATGATTATTACATTCATCCAGCTCTTAGTGGCCCTGAAAGTGCGTTATCCTCAGCGTATCACTATTCTCAGAGGAAACCATGAAAGTCGTCAGGTATTTTGCCTTTCACCAAGTTATTTTGACTTATTTCGTCTTGATTTCAGCAGCTGCTGTAAATCTTACATTTAGTTTCTTTTGTCACAAATGGTGTCGAGTCTGTTGAAAAAGGATATTTTGTTATTGATTGTTTTTACTTGGTACAGTGCTGGTTCTATGACTATACAATAATAATCTACCGTGCGTTTATAAAATTTAAATTGTGCTGGAGCAATTGGATCTGGAGACCTGTTTATATTTTTTTTTTTTTTTTGTTTTTTTTTTTTTTTTACAGATTACTCAGGTTTATGGGTTTTACGATGAATGTCTTCGAAAGTGAGTATTCTGCGCACACCTTTCTTTAGTGTAAAGAATCTATTTGAAAATACTAGTTGCATTTAATGTTAAGTTTGTAATCTATGTCAGGTTGGAACGTGAATTTTGATGAAAACTTGTGAGAAACCATGAGGTTTCTTTTGATTTTTAATTTTGGGTTACACATCGGGTTTCTTCTACTTACGGGAAAGAAAAAGCATAAAAACTTTCATAATCAACAAATGACTGGTTAGGGAAAATGCTGGAAGGAATATGATTAGTTGAACCAAATAAATAAACAGGATTGAAACATATGAAATATATGATTTATTTTTGGACAGGAAGATTCAAACCAACTGGGAGTGTGAAGATGTGATAGTTACTTGCCAAACCCTAGCTCGAATGCTTTTTCTGCCTGAGGTCATAAAAAGTAGAATCAAAATTGTACCCATATCAATTGAAGGCATATTAGTACCATTTTGGTTACCATAGAGGGCATACTAGTACGTTCTAATCAAACTTTTTGAACTTAATCCTGACTGGTTAGCACTGATTCTCTTTAAAAACATTGGTTTGTTATTTTCATCTCAACAATATGAGCGATCTCTAGTGCAAATTAGTACAGCATAGTGCAGTTTTGAAAGCTTCTATTAAGTTATGCTGAATCCTTCCTATTGTATAGTCTGTTTGTTTAGTATATGGCATGGTGCAACACTTGATGCAATAAATCATGATAGATTAGGTTCAGTTAACATTCTCGATGGACTTTCACTTCTGTATCATTCTCTTAAGGCCTGTTGCTTGCTTGTCATTCAGGTACTGGCTTGACATTTTTATCCAGTGTTGTAATTTAAAAACATAGCCTTTTGAGTTATTTTAGTTTCTGGTCATTTGGCATTTCAGATTAAATTGTATTTTATGTTGTGGTTGTGTACACTCTCATGCATGTAGAACAATCTATTTGCTTTTAGATCCTCTGGAAATTCAATGATGGTGCATCTTCTGCTGACTTAATTACAGGTATGGCAATGCCAATGTTTGGAAGATCTTCACTGACCTTTTTGACTACTTTCCACTGACAGCATTGGTTAGTAAAAAATTTTCATTTTGCCCATGTAATATTATTGTGGATACAAATGGAATGAAAAGTGATGATTTTATAAATATAATACATTTTCTACGAGCTGATTTTGTGGTTTTCTGCAGTTTACTTACACCTTCCTCATTTATTAGGGTCACTTTAATATAATGCAATTAGTGAACACTTAGATGTCTTGCTGTGTTGGAGAGGAATAATGGTAGGTCAAACACTGCAAGTTTTAGCATTCTTAATTAAAGATAAAAGCAGGAGAGATATACTTTTTCAGATTATTTCTTTATAATATATATACATATTTATTTATTTATTTATATGAATATTTGGTGAGCTGATCCTGGTGTTTGCTGCTTGTTTAAAGCCACTTTTTCTCATTGATTGGGCTCACTATAATATTAGTGTGATTAGCAAACAAGTCTTCAGTGTGTCTTGCTGAAGTATATTTATTTTAAACGTTGATCACCTATTATGATACTCGTCTGCGCTTATTTCTCTTTAGGTTGAGTCAGAAATATTTTGCCTGCATGGTGGGTTGTCCCCTTCCATTGAAAACCTTGATAACATAAGGAATTTTGATCGTGTTCAAGAGGTTCCACATGAAGGGCCGATGTGTGATCTGTTATGGTCTGACCCAGATGACCGATGTGGTTGGGGTATTTCACCTCGTGGTGCGGGATATACTTTTGGTCAGGTAACTTCAAATATCTCATAGGTTTCTTTTATATTTATTGAAGATATTGCACCATCTGAAGTTCGAATGGTCACCTTAACATATAGTGTATATGACGTTTGGGTTATTGTCTATCTAGTTCTTACTGATCAAATATTCACTTTTTGTTTTTATGTTTTTGGCAGGATATATCTGAACAATTTAATCATACAAACAGTTTAAAGTTGATTGCAAGAGCTCATCAGTTGGTTATGGATGGATTCAACTGGGCTCATGTAATTTTTTTATCTGTGAAACTTGAGCTGTTTCATTTTCTTGTTTGTTTGGTACACAGCGGTAAGGTTTATCAATGATCTAACATTGTGTTGTCTGGACAGGAACAAAAGGTGGTTACTATATTTAGTGCACCTAATTATTGCTATCGCTGTGGGAACATGGCTTCTGTTTTAGAAGTCGATGACTGCAGGGGCCATACCTTCATCCAGGTTCTCTCTCTCTCTCTCTCTCTCTCTCTCTCTCTCTCTCTCTCATATACATTGAAGTAGTAAAACATGGCTAAATTTTGTGCATGCATGAAATGTGAACTTTTTTTTTGGCAGTTTGAGCCAGCTCCTAGAAGAGGAGAGCCAGACGTTACCCGTAGAACACCTGATTACTTTCTGTGAAGCTGGTGCATTAGTGCCATTTATTTTGTGGCTCTTCCGCTCTTCCACTGCTGGTCACATTGTTTTTGCACAAGATGACTATTGGGTTTAAAATCTAAGTCTACCTGTGTGGTTATAGGATTCCAAGACGATGTAAAATACACAGGTAAGGTGCCTGCTGATTTCACTTGAACCTTGCTGGATTTCCTACCAAATAGTTTGCCTAGCTGTTGACACACCGTAATTATTGTATCATATCCAGCAGAATATGTGGATATTCTTTTTGGTTTTTGTACTTCTATCTTTCTCTCCTTGTACGTTTTGCTCACCCTTCCCATTCTTTTGGGGCTCTCAAGGGTGCATGGAACTTTATTATTAGTGGATGTTTTGCATTTCTATTCAATTACTTTATCAGTGATGATTGGCAATGTGATGATGGTTCTTTTATGAATTTCACTTTCTCCCCTATAGCGCAAGAGAACACTCTCCGAGTGCTTATTGTGCAAAAAAGTGATTGAATACAAATGTAAAGGGTTCGTTTGGATGGAGGGATTTAAAGGAATTGTGGTTGGAACTTGCCACTGTGACAGCGCAGGTTTGTCTAGTTCGACATGAATGTGGGATATTTCTGGACATAATTTTTACTGCTCTAACTGGATCCCTTATCCTCCCTGCCTATTGAATTTCTTTTAGTAGGGTTGCCTTTTTAATTTCAACGTCTTTTTAAGCCACTACGGATGGTCGAGACTTTTTCCAGTTGAGAGAAGTTTCAAGTTATGCATGCCACTGCGCATTTGGCGTGTACAGCTGTTTTTTGTGTTTAGTTGATGTCTTGTGAATCAAGGCTTTTTTCGAAGGATAACATGCACTCTGTTAAGTTGACAGCCAATGGCTGGCAACAGCCAACGATTGAAGGGATTCTTCCAAGATGTCAATAAAAGTATCATAGCCCTTCCGAGATGTCAATAAAAGTATCATAGAAAAGTCGCCGACTCGAGAAACACTTGCAAGAAACGGAGGTAGCATTATTTTGCTATCCCTGATCAATAACAATATGTCGTGTGGAAAAGTTATCACTCGTGTTATAGCATTATTGGCTAGGAATAGCAAAATAATGCTATTCCTGTTGCAACAAAGTTTTTCTCCACCAACTCCCCATTTCATCGCATAACAGGATGGAAAAACATCAAAATGATTTGTTCAACAAAAGCAGATCAATTTCGACATTGATATCATCTCAAGTTGGCAATTATCGAATACTGTTGACCTTCAGTTTCCACAGAAGAGGCAAATGTTCAAACACGAGGGATTCTGCAATAGAAACTTAGGAAGCAGCATAGCAAACAGGGTCAAAAACTAAAGTCCTAAAACTAAACAGTTAATAACAAAAGTGAAATGCAACGTTATGACAGGAGAAATGTTGTGTGTGACCCCGCTCACTACTCTTTCTTGGGAGCTGCCCAGGTAGAGTGCCAATTTTTGCTGGGGTGGGGTTAAGGATGGCAGATAAATCAAAAAACAAGGCGATAAGGTGACATGACAATTGGTGTCTTGTAATATGCTGTCCTATCTCACAATGCATGATTTAACCTCAAACCCCAATCCTTCCGATTTGGTTGCACGGTTTGTGCCTTTAATCCTAGACAGAAAGTTCACTTTAATGAACAAATCTTGGCCTTCCATTCCACGTTTTCATGTCTTGAATTCGCTAAAGTCGCAAAGGATTGTAACACTCTCTAATAGACGCATTTAGTACTTTTAACAATTTATTCAGTCAAATATGAAAAATTTATGAAAAATTGATTTTGAATCGAACCCAAAATTTAGTCATAAAACGGTGGGAAAAGTCATTTAATGCCTCAAATGAGAAATTGCAAGCTGCGCTTACCACAGTGGCTAAAAAGGTTGTATACTAAAACATTGTAGGCTTATAACATCACGGTTTCGTGGTGTAGTTGGTTATCACGTCAGTCTAACACACTGAAGGTCCCCAGTTCGAACCTGGGCGAAGCCATATGCTTTTATTTTATTTATTTAGGCTTATTTAAACGATACTTCATCATAACCTCCATTGCCATTTTAATTTCCTCCTACACATTCAAGATTTGCAGCTCTTGGAATGAGAGCCCTGAATTGTGACCAAATTGTGTTAAATCTGGAGAAGGGTTTCTGTGGAAATAAGCAAAATCGATTTATGTTCATACTACAACGTATATACTATTTACAAAATTGAATTGAGGACATATTTCCATTGGGAAATTTAAAGTGTTTGCTAATCATAAGAATAATGAAGCATTACAAGCTTAAATGAGCAAAAAAGGAGGGAACAAGATCTACCACAGACCATGCCAGGCCCGCATACTGGAGGAATCGTATACCAGTATCAACATCAAATGAGTCTTGGCTGGAGAAAAAGAACAGCTTTTGGACATAACCTGATTGCTTCAACCCATCTGATTTTTTCCCATTACTTGAACCCTTTAGCGACGCAATGTAAGTGGAGGATTTTATTGAAATGCCCAAGGTGTTAGCTAGCACTGGAAGAATCCATTTAGCAAGAGCTTTACTGCAGAACTTCACAATAAGTATTGTCGGTATCCCCACAAGCATTCTTCCCATAAAGCCAGGGATTGTTAATTGTGACGTAAATACACGTGGAACAGCTTCATGGTGAAACTGATGGTATGTCTGCTGGACCCCAGATACCTGGATAACATTGTTGTTTTTAGTTATGAATATTATGCGAAAGCGTATAATTTAGACAGCACAACTTTGCATAAATTTCGAGAACAAGTTTCTATCTAAAACTATTGTGAATATAAGAACTATGAGTATTAACATGATAACATATATCAATCAGCAATATGGATGATTCAAAATAAACTTTGGATAATAGTAAATGAAAATTTCAAATAAACAACAATGGGTGATGTTAAAGGATAAATGATTGCTTACAATTCCTAATGCAACACCATTGAAGGCTGTGTGGTACTCAAAACTTGGAGTTGGAAATTCAGGAGTTGGATAAGCAAAGAGCAATATGAAGCTCAGGGCGGCCCAAAAGTATGTAACTGCAATAGAAACAGTGTGCAGTAAGAATACATGCATACTTGCCAAGTTATAAATTCCTTAATTCATTTGTCATTGCAATTCCAAGAGTGTTAAGGTAACCCCATTCTAATTATCTAAAAAGAAGTCCAATAAGGTTTACATTTCAGCATTCTGCTTTAACCTGAACCAGATTTATGAAAATCCATAGTACAGTTTTGGACATCACAAAAACAACCCACTTATGACTTCAAAGTCCCTGTCCCCAGTTTCTAAAGGGTGGCTCCCCTCTATTAAATAGAACAGGATATGAAAGCATTTCTAGAAAGTTTTCAAATCGCATTATGACTTCATGTGTTCTCATGTGAATTCATGTTCCTATCAGACCCAATTTCATGCCTGTTTCAATCTTGCAAGGGATATACTCACAGAACACTTTCTAAAATTGCCATCTCTGTATGGAATGTATCCCATATCCTGACATGCAAAAGCGCATGTGGTGGGCATATCTTCCTATTTGTGTATTTTCATGCTCGCAATCTTTGGGGCTGCCACCTGACAGTGCAGAAGCTTCATCTTGCGTTATTAAGTTTTCAAAAGCTTAGTTTTGTTTGCTATCTAGGTTGTTTCGACCAAGTTATCAAAAACATACAATGGTAAGTTGACTGGCAGCTGTGCTTACCATTTTGTCCCAAGACTATAAAATTGTCAACATATTCATGAACACTGAGCCAGAACCTAAGGATCACCAATCCAATAGCAAGCCCACCTATGATATCAACCACACTGTGCATGCCGAGATAAATCCTTCCTATCAAGAAAATATAAGTTCAGCTTGGGGATTAAAAATAAACAAATAAAGTAGCTGTCGAAAACTCATTAGAGAAAAATAAACTCACCTAAACCAATGAGACCCACAAGCAAGCAAACAAGAGCGAATCCAGCAAACTTAACATGGGAATCTTCATTCTGAGTATATGATAGGATGTAATGCAAAAGGTATCTGGAAACCCCTAACACAAGAGCAAATGTTCAGTGTATATATGACAGTAATTCATACGTCATGAACTTGACTTTCTGACACACGTATTGATAAAATGCTGGTTAGTCTTGAATTGAAAAAGTTTTGCTTCAAACTGTGATAAAAGTCTTTGGCCAAAGGCATAGCTTAAACCAAATGTCTTGACTCACTCGGAGTATATATTCAAAACCTTCATAAGCAACAGTATTTATAACTTTTGAAACACGTTTATCATTAGGTAAGCCTAAAGGTTTATGCTTGAGAAAACAGCTTTCTACAATGTTGGCATTGGTTTGCCTAGCTGCATGTATTTGACAAGAAGCAAGTAAATACCCGGACAAGCAAACTGTGTTTAGAGTGTGAGAAGATGGCAATCCATATTCCAATGCATTATCTTCCTCATCTTTTGTAGCGGTTATTCTTCTAACAGGTGGACAACTAGGTCTAGGAGCTGATACCACATCCTATGCACACAAAACACAGAAAATATGTAACTTGGTATATGAACATGAAGCACTTAACCAACTTTATTTATATAAAAATAAAATAATAAAAATAAAAATAAAAATAAAATTTTAAAAAAAACAGTAAGAAGGAACTGATTACCTTTATACAGTTCCCCATATAATCACAGAAAGCCATCAACAGGGTCATTTGTCTAGCCAATTTTCCATGCCCACTCTACAAATGGTCAGCCAAGAGCAACACATAAAAAAGTCTCAGAATGCTGATTAATATAGCAAGCATACAACCCAAAAATGACATAACAGCAATCACACAAATCAAATTCACCATTAAAGGGAGTAGAAAAGCATACCCAGAAAAGCAAAGGAAGAAAGGCAGTATAAAAGGGCACAGAAACAACACAGGACAAGCCAGAGAAGAAAGCATCCAAGAACCTATGCTGGTAATTCTGCATAATCCAACCAAAAAACAAATTCCAAAAAGAAAAAAAAGTCAAATACAATTGAAATACACAGAATTGAATAAGAATGATCATCTGGGTCATCTTGGTTTTAATAGTATGAAACCTGGATCTGGAGGATGAGAGGAGTGTCTGTGGTGACATGCTGAGCCACCCATGGTTGCAGAAAAGATCGAAGCTTTCGAGTCACATCGAGATATGAAGCTACTATAATCCATAACACAATCCCACAGAGTGTTGACCCTTGCCACACTGCATTCCCTTCTCTCTCTCTCTCTCTCTCTCTCTCTCTCTCTCTCTGTGTGGTGTCTCTCAGAGAGAAGGATCGGAAAGGGAGAAGAAGAACAAGAAGACTAGGAGAGACGCAGAAAACAAAGAAACCAAAATTGAAAAACAAACGGTAGGACTTGGACTTTGGCCAGAAACAAGTTTTTTTCTTTCTTTCTTTACACAATGGGATTATGGGTATTTTTTTGTTTTTGGGTAAATAAATAATATTCTTCTTGTACTTAATTATTGTGGCATTTAATCATTTTTATAGTTAACCCCGAAATCATTTGTCTGAGCTGCTTTGTTTTTTGGACATTTGACTGGCAAGGAGAATTGTCTGCCACACATAAGAGAACCTTCCAGCCCCAAAAGCCAAAATATATTCGTCATTGTGCATAAATTCAATTTTAAAATGAAGTTTCTTTAGCAAACAAAAATTGTATTATGCATTAACATAAACAAATTAACTTATCAAAAAGTTCAATTAAGCACTTTAATTACAAGTTCAAATTCAAAATTTTCATTTGAAACTTCTCCTCAACTTCCTTCAGGTTTTAGCTTTATTTTGCAAGCGATTTGTAGCTCAAGTGGTTAAAAATAGTTACTATTACATCCGAGAGGTCATGTGTTTCTCCCTCCAACATCGCTTGTATTCTCTATTTTCCTAATATAGGATAACTCTATGTTCTTTACAAGAATGGTTCAATATAATTTGTGGAAGAAAAAAAAACTCTGCTGATGTTGATTTTGTATTTTTCAACAAAATAGCTGAAACATCAGGGAGAGGGGCTGTCAACTACTTATTTAGTTATGAGTCAAACCGAAATTTTTTGCCACCGTGTTATCCATAAAGAAGGACAAGCAATATCAAACTTAAGTTTAAATCTAAACAACTCAAAGAAGAAAAGATAAAAAGAGGAGTGTGTGTATATGGTATGGGTGGCCAACAATTGCAGAAATGTTTCTTCTTCTAGGATGGCCTACCAAGCTTTATGGGGAGCTCTTCAAAGTTGACCAACAACGGGTTTCATATAAAAACAGTTTGATTAAGAGAGTGTTCATCCTTTATTAGGTTTGAAAGAATCTTCAAATCACATGTATTTTAACCCATTATGAAACAAAGTCCAAGTTGAGGATTTTTTCTATTTTTTTTGGATGGGGATGGTGTTGAAATTTCAAATCTAATCAAATACATCCAAAAATATCAGATTAAAATTAATTATTTTTTAACCCATGAGTAGGACTTTTTCTCAGATATTATAGATAAAAATTACAAGTATTCAATGAGAAACAGAGCAAAGAGAATTGACGAGCCTAATAGCATGGGCTTGTAATTAAGTATGGCATTAAAGTGATTAGTTGCTATGGAAGGTGAGGCGTAGTAGTTTTGGGCCGTTCACCTTGGCATTGGTGGGTGAAGTCGCACAAAGCACACCCCTACCCTCGGGGTTAGTAGGGCCTCCCAACCACAAAGGTTGGGTAGCAACCACAGAGCAAAGAGAATTCAGGGAGTATTTGCAGAGAACGTGTAGGATCAAGTGGCCAATAAAACCCTTTTATAAATACCAAGTTAAATTTGGTTGGTTTACCATTGCTTTCAAGACTTAAAGTTGTTAACATGTGGACCAACAATTTAATGTTCTAACAATACTCCTCCTAACTTGTGCGCTTGAGGGCCCAAAACCTAGAATTCTAACCTAATACTGAAAGGATGCAAGATTTTGATCTAATGGCATTTAGAGTATTTTGTTGGAGGAGAATTTGAAATCAGATTTTATGGACAACATTTGTTGAATAATTTGCACTTCAACTTTTTGATACAGGCGATATTGGAGGGGGGAAATCAAACCTTGGACCTCGAGTGCATGAGTAAATGCTCATAACCACTTGAGTTACAAGCCCCTTATTCATACTTCAACCTTAATACCTCAACCATGTCCTATGTTCAAGATTGAACCTTTTAATTAATTTCTTGGATCCAGTAGCCATAAGTGGAGCTCTTGATTTTCATTCCATGCAGATATAGCAAACAACCCCAGGTTCTATGAAGATTTACAAGAACTGATGAGAAAACCCAAGACCATGGATGCTAGAAGTTTAATGAAATAAGTTACACCACTAGGAGAGAGGCAACACCTCTTTTTTGCACCTCATCTCCCACCAGATTTTCAGGCTAAGAAGGAAAAAAGAAGAAGAAGAAGAAAAAGAGAAAGTAATATTGGCTTATTACAAATTAGTTGTAGGACTCTTGAGATGTGTTGGGGTAACACAAGACATCATAATGTTTCAGCTACATACCCCTCTGCCCTTCAAAACATGCCTCTTAAGACCTGGAATGTGGACATTTGTAATATAGTCTTTCCAATCTATGCTCCCCACATCAAATCCAAACTTCCTCTTTTCTTCTTCAGACATCCTCTCCATTAGTCTCTGAGTATTGCTGTTGTCAAACCTGCAGCAAGTGATTTATTTTAAAATATAAATTTATATATCTAATTCATGCTTGATCTTAGTTTTAGTGAAGAGTGACAATGCTATTGCTCAATGCATCATACCTTCCACCATAAAAAGTATATGGCTCATAAATAGCAGCCAAGTACTTTGCTTGCTCAACTGATTTTCTGCAGATCATTTCAAGTTTCCGAGACAGTTTCCCATTTGAGGAATTTAATGCTGTTAACTGGCTTCGTTGAAGGGCATCTCTCCAAATGTGAGCAGAGAAATCTTCCATTGAGCTGAAGAGCTTCATCGATGGAACTTGGATTGGCCTGCCTTTCGAGTCCACGCACGGTGAGGAGTTGTAATGCTCATAGAGCAGTGTACTTAGTTCTTGGAAATTTAAGGGGTTTGCAACTGAGGAAGTAATCTGGTAGATATTGATGCCTTTTTTCTGAGCCATTCCATGATTCGCAATGGCCGCCAAGGTTGCGTTAGCAACCATGTCAGCTGGAATCTGCAAGTAGTCATGCCAAAAGTCCAGCAACTATTCAGGGAATGAATATGTGATACATACATAGATGCATATATGGATGCTGCATACTTTTTCTGCTACATATTTGGTCATTTCTTCCTAAAATTCTTCTCCAATCTATTGCTCAAAATGTCATGTATACATATAATGCATAAGGGTCAAATGAAATAGATAAAAGATTAATAATTACCACATCAAGTACCCCATTTGGATCTACTAGGAAACCTGTGAGCTGCCCTTTTCCATAGTACAAAACAATTGGATCCATCATCCTGGGAAAATAGGGACAATAGAGGTTTAATTCAAAGCTTTATGTGAAACACTAAAGCAATTTCTTTGGTGAGATATGTAATAGCAATTTCAGTTTCAAGGGAACTTCACACTTGAGATATACCTATTTCCTTCCATCCATCCGGCAAATGGTTCTTTGCAAGTGCTTTCAATGACACTAGGTCGGATAATAACCACTGGTATGTCACCTCTCATATTATCAATCAGCATTTCTCCCATGGCCTTGGTGAACACATATGTATCTTGCCATCCATATTTTCTGGCCCTGATTAGATGATAGTTTTGTCATGTTAAGACACTAACCAATGCAATTCAGATCCCAGTTTTGTCCATTAATGTGAAAACCAGTTCTTTCTGATGGGAAACAAAGACCTTATCAACTTTACAAGTCTAGAAGAAACAGATATGAATGAAATGGTTCAGTGTTCATCTCCTTGGAAACCAAATAAAGCATCAAGGAAAGGAAAATTGCAGAAGGAAGGGAAAATAAAAGAAAGTCAAGCCGCTTACCTTTCTAAACCCAGCTCTTTCATCTTTTGAGCCACCTCATTGTTTGCATAAGCTCCTTTGGAATTCAAAGCCAGATTTATTTCGTTTTCAACATCCAGGGGATAAAATCCTGGCGGGGTTTCAGATATGTAATTTTCCCCTGCTATGCTTTCTCCAATATTAAATGGCTTTTCCATAATTCTTCCTTGCCTTTGTCCATTAACGTATGCTGCAAGTGAGAGGGCAAAGATTTTTAAGTAAAATTAGAATTAGCAAAAGCAATTTTATAGAAGGCAATCACCTATAGATATCGGTTTCTAATACTCCATGATTCTCCACACATTTTACTTACCTGTTGATACTTGCAGGAAGAGCTTAAGTTTCTTGCACTTTTTTGCAAAGGCCATAAGGTGACAAGGTCCTTTTGTGTTTATATCTATAGCCACGTCATATCTGCGTAACAGAATGGTATGAAAATCTATCACAATCAGAACTCAATCTTACAGAGAAGTTCATACACATTTAGTGTAGAAATGGGAACTGCCAGAGGTAAAAGCCCATATAACCTTTCATGAAATGTTGTGTTAGCTGCAGAATTTACAATGACATCAACCTCTTTAGCAATCAAACCAGCTATATCATGTTCTAGCCCAAGATCTGAATCACTGACATTTCCTACCACAGGAACTAGCTTGCTCAACATGAAGGCTTGATAAGATTTTCCATAAGTTTGTCTGAGACACTTGAAAAGCTCAGCATTTATGATCTATACCGCAACCGAACACCAAAATTCAAAGTAAGGGCCAGGAAGTAGAAATAATGAATGGATTTGAGCAGGTTACAAACTCAACATCAAATAGAAACATATGAAACACAACACCACAGAGAAACATACTTCACTTTTTAATCTTTCCATTGCAGCTTCCTTGTTTTTCGCCTTGATCAAGAGAAATATCTTCCCCACATCGGGCTGTGTCCTTAATATCTTCTCAATAAGAACTGAACAGTTTTAACAAAAGGGAAAAATGAGATTCACATAACACATCAAGACCTCTATCATATTTTTCTAATTTCATGGAAAATGAGCATTTGAAGAATGAACAAGATACAAGTGTATACCTTTTGCTAGAAACCCAGTAGCACCAGTTATGAAAAACCCTTTTCCTCTAAGAAATTTTACAATCCCAATGCCATCATGCATCTCCATCAAAGAAGTAGATGGTGGTGATCCACCAAAAGGCACCAAATCCTTCACTGCAATATTATTTTCTTTCTGGCTCTTCTGATCATTTGGAGACAAAACCAGGCTTCCTGCATCCTTCACAGCTTTAGAAGAAAACCCACTAGTCTTTATGGCATTGCCACCTGACCCTTGGCACAGAATTACACTCTTTTTTCTCCTCAACAAGCACCAGCCCCTCTTGTGATCAGACACTCTCAAAATTTTATCTGGTGCAATTGTTGATGATGAGAAAGAATTGAGGAAAACAGCCTCCATCACTGCCAACAAAACTGGAAAATACAAAAGACAAAGTTAATCATATGAAAAAGAAAAGAAAAAAAAATGGTTTAACAAACTAAAGTTGTTGCAATTAAAAATGCATGGTTGGGTTGAAACCTTAGCTACACACTTCCTGAACCAAATATAAAAAGGCAAGTAAACTACTTGGTCTCTGTAACATAAGAAAGATGGGTTGGTTTGGTCTGGTTCTGAACTTGGTTTCAAGAGAGTGAGGCAAAGACCATTTTGAAGAAGGAGGGAGATAGCAGTTAGGTGAATATATGGAAATGGTGTTGGTGTTTATATAGGGAGATTTTATTTTGGGGATAAAGGGGCACTCTTTATGCCAACCCCTTTCACACTTTTTTACCAACGGCAAAGTTGGCGGGAACTCTCTTGTCATCTTCACTATGTTTGATTAGTGTTCTTGGGAGAGGTACGTTTTTTATGTGCCTATATAATTAACCCCCAAAATGAAGGGCAAAAAAGGGCGTGGGGCAATGAACAATGGGCTGGGGTTAGTATGTCAATTATTTTCCATTTTGAAATTGTTATTTGTACTCTAAAAAAGTTATCGTGCCCATAAATTTCAACCTACATTAGTATCTTTTTTTCTTTTTTTTTAAAGAAAAATGTTTGCACTTCGAAAAAACAATCATATACTTTTTTTCTTTTATTAATTTTATGCAAAACAAATATTTGGATATGTGACAATTTATGAATGCAATCAGTGGCGGAGCCACTCTTAGACGATCACCCTATTTTAAAACTCTACTGTATATTGACATGTTATAATATGCAAATAGACTTAAAGAGGCCTTGTTAATTTTGAGTATAACTCCGCTCCAATAAAGTATACGTGAATAACTTAACTATATTTAGTTTTAACATGTAACTTTTGAATACTTATGTATTTTCTATACTAGTATTTTATACATTGTCCTTGCCAACCTTGAAATTCTAGCTCCACCCCTGCATGCAACTAGTTCACCTGATCTGTTTATAAAATTAAAAATAAAATAAAATAACCATGATTGTCAGTATTAATTCCGACCTTTTTAGTATAAATAACTTGGTAGCGCTTAGCTACCAAGAACAGCGTTTGTAGTCCAACGGTTAGGATAATTGCCTTCCAAGCAATAGACCCGGGTTCGACTCCCGGCAGACGCAAACTCCAATCTTTTTAGCTTTTCATGATTGCATGTAAGGTGTTCGATTAAATGCACAAACGAGTTTTTTCCTTTTTATTCCTTCACATGTTTCATGGTGGGCAACACAACCAACCAAGGAACATCCGTGACTGCCTTGGTAGTCCAATTTTTCTTTTCTTTTTTGTTTGAAAAACTCTATCAATTTTTCTTAAGAAGTAAATTAATTGTTTTAAAATAAAATGTTTGTCAAAAATTGGTGAAGAAATAGGACTGCGGGTGGCAATAGCGCCACTCTAATAGGGTGGTATATATCAACATGTTTGTTGTGTTTAGGGTGGTATATGTTAACATGTTTGTATGAAACACAACGGAATGACATATAGTGCTGGATCATTATTGATCATGCTCCCATTGCATCAACTTCTCAATTTCATTTTTTTTTGTTAATTCCTAAATCATGTTGATATTGCATCCCAATTTATCAATTTATGAGTTTCTTAATGCATATAAAATGAATTTTTGTATAGATTGGCCCAAAATACAACCTCCCACAATCAGGCATCAACAAAATGAGACACAAATCAAATGCCCGAAAATCCGGTATTATTACCTTCAAAACTGAAGTTATAGCAAAATCTTAATTAAAAAACTAAATTTATCATCCAAAAGATTGGAAGAGGTCTCATATTTGAAACTCCCTCCTAAATTTAAAATTAATTAATTAATTAAAAGCCAGATTCTCAAATAACACCCTTAATCACCAGACAGACATCGAAGGCAATTGCACTGAAAACCAAACCCCTGGGACAGGAAACTCTGCCGAGCAACATGATCCATGCTTGCATCGATATAGCAGATCCGGAGCTCTTCACCTGAAAATGAAAGATACTCAATACTAATGTACTTTTCTGGTCCCCATTTAGTATTTCACTCAGCAAAGTCATATCTGCTTATAGACCAGCTGCCCTAGCCCAAAGTCATATAAGATAAGCTAATAGCCTATAAATCAACAGTCCTTCATCTAAAAAAGTGGTTTGAGAAAATGGTTCTGAAAATTATTAAGAGCTTTACTGGCTAAGCTCTTCTCATGTAGTTTTATCAATAACTAATGTGCCACTTACTAATGGTATCCGGTTACGACAAATCGTATAGGACACATCTGTCTAAAGCAACAGCTTGGACACCTTACTTTCCACCAACTTCTTGATGTTGAATCAAATACTCTTAGCATAGATGCATTATGACTGTCAATATAAAGATGGTGGCACTCGGACAAGTATTGCATTAATGAAAACAGCATGTCTGCAGGAATGAAAAGGCTATTCATGAAAATATGACGCTCCTAAACCCTAAATCAATGCCCATAGTTGCTAACAATAAGATGGTGGGACAGGTATTTCACTTCATTTTATTGAGGGCGGTCACAACCATGCACATATTGCAGCTGCTTGTTTAAGAAGAGAATATTACAGTGAAGCCTAAATTACTTACTGTAGGACATAATTCTAGATATCCCTCGAATTGAGGTGATCACACCCACAAATTAAGGTGCAATGTCACCCATCAAGATCAGCACATCATCCTCAACTCCAATGATTTCTAGAATTACCCTACAGTAATTTAATCATTCACTGTAACATTCTTTAGTAAACAACCAGCTGCAACATGTATATAACTGCAAATATTACTAAAACTACTGCACATTACACAAACCTTCATCCACATCACGAAGGGCCTTCAATCTTGCATCTGCATTCTCTATCCATATAATGTGGCTATTTGGATCTGTAGTATAAAAAAAATCCAGCTGATTCAAATTTCTCAAATGATCAGACATGAGATTGATGATAGAGGTGTATAGGTGCAGTCAGAGATCCATAATGCAGTTTCTCATAGCATGCATACTACTTTATTCAATGTCTTATAACATGTTTAAATTAAGTTTCATTTAACTTCTCAATTAAATAATTTTATAAACATCTGGAAGATACTAACTGGAACTAAAACCTTCATTACTTTTGTGCTGAGCTGACTCCATGTAATAAGCTCAACATGCAAAGGCACATATTGGTTTGACTTTATTTCTTATATATCTATGTTCTCTCTATAAAATAAAGTATAATCTCACTTCCACGAAATTAAAATAAATGAGGGTGAAAAGTTTTACCAGAAGACAAGAAGAGCTTACCGCAATCATGATTATAGAAGGATGGGAGCATATAAACAGCATTCCCAACAGCAGCTTCAGATTCTATAGAGGCTGCTAATGATGACAGGAGATCATCATACAATGCACCGACCAACTCTATTCGAAATGCATTAATGCGAATCCGTGCCAGTATACCAATGTACCATTGTTTAGTTAAAACTTCTAATGTCAAAGAAAAGCATTCTCCCAACCCAATTGCTGCTGCTAAAGTACAAGTGAAATAAAATCTAAGATGGAAAGTAATATTAAATTTCAGGCAATTGGAGGATACATGACATCTGTTCACCAATGATATTTGAGTTTTCAAAGGCACTCCTTAGCAAGCGAAAACCCTCTTCCATCTGAAGATTGTCACCTTAATGTATAAACCAATTAATATTTTTCTCAGGTAATACTTACTTCAGATTGACAAAACGCAGGGAAACTTTGGAGATCAAACGAACTGTAATCAGACAAAAATTTAAGCTTCTCAGTCTCTAAGAACTCAAACAAAATAATGTATTTGTCCCAACACTTGAAAATATTTCCTACCTTATTTAAGACATAGAACCCAAGAAATTACTGTTGAAGGGAAAGCATGAAGGTTGAAATTGTTCTGGAAACATGACAAACACATGCCCAGTACAAGAACACGAATTTTGTTTACTAGAGAAGCCAGAAGAACATATTTTGAAGCTCCTTCTACTTAGTGGGACAAATAGAAGAAAAGTAAAATCAACAAAATCATGATACACTTTCATTTTTCGAATTCTAGTTTCATCATATGCTAGAACAAATTAGCAAAGGTACTGACCTCTACAATCATCTGTGGAGATAAGCTAGCAGGTTGGAGTATGTCAAGAAGGTTGGCAGATGCAGCTCTTGACATGGCCATACAAGCCAACCGCTTCACAAGTAATGGATATTTCAAACCACGAGACCTTTAGAAAGAGACCAGTACAAATAATACAATTAGTAAATATTTATCACCACCAAGTTGGAAGCATTTCTGACTTGACACACTAGTTTAAAAACCAGCATAACGAAATATGTCGAAAGCAATTTTTCATACAAAATTGTTACCGGATTTGGGAGCACAAGAAAATATGGAAGTTGAACATTAGTAGTTTTCATTTCACATGAACTATATTTCCTTTTTTATGTAAAAACAGCTTGGGGCTCATGCAAGGAAAAATAGGAGTCCATAGAGTGCAACTAGGAGCAATGGTATGACTTGGTGGAGAAGTTCCCCACACAAAAATTAAGAAGAGACCCCATGAGAGGCATTGCTATACAATGGCAGGAAACTGAGGAATTTACTCTTTCAACGAATGATGAAATGCAGGAAGCACACATACCGGCAATAGTCATCATAAGCTGACCAATCTGCTCTCATCTCCATATCATGAAACCCCTATAAATCATGCAGCAGAAGAAGAAGAAAAATACATAAACCCAAAACATAATCTACTTATCAAAGAACAGCCCCTAACAAAAAAAATGTAAGTAAGCTCGGACTCAAACATCAATGGAAGCCGAACAAAGCACTTCTTTCAGAAACAAAAGCTCGAACAGTTGGTGGGTAAAACCCACAATTTGAATTGCCTACCTTTGCTTCTCGTTGGCATTCGTCGCTGCAAAACGAAACACGTTGGGCTTGAGAGCTGTCTGTGGTTTTCAGCTTTCTGAGGCAGAAATAACAGACCTTGTGGATGGTTGACAGAGAAGGGTGAGAGAGAACGGGTTTGGCCGTGTGTATGAGCTCACCGGTCTCGATTTTCCGGGTCGCGAAGACGCCTCGACCGAATGACTCGGTGAGAGCGACTCGGATCGGAGGCGGTCCGGGTCGACCTGGGTTTTCATTGTCGGCTGTGGTGACGGAGGAGAAGGAGGAGGAAGAGGAGGAGGAGAGTAACGGCTTGGTTTGGGAATTCAATGTTTTGAGGCGCGAAGCCCAACGACTATAACGAACCAGTCCCATTTTTCAGTCACTTGCATCTTTCAACCTCTATGCTTATACAAACTAGCCTCGGTTTTTTTTTTATGGCCACACTTGATCTTGTTTAATTTGTTTGATAGACTCATGAATTTTTTGCTACGGTGAGTGTTCCACGCACAATTCAGTGAATTTTAACTGTTAATGTATTGTGAACTTTACATGCATCAACGATCAGGAATCACTCACATGCGCGACTGACCGTAACATAATTCTAAATTCCTTTAACAATTATTCAAATTTGAAAATCTTTCAACATTAATAAGAGATATGCAACTACATCAAGGATTTCATTTGTTTTCCTTAAAACTAAGTATTTCATTTGTTATCTTTAGTAGGGTTATTTTATTCTTTTTAAGCCTTAGAATTTTTCCCTAAACTTTGTTTTGTCTTGTTGCATAACACAGAGCTAAGGGACATGATTCGAATTCAAACCAAAACTATGCCACTAAAAATCTCAAACACAAGAAAATGTACATACAAATAGAGATAAGTCTATTTTAGACATGGAACTCTCATAAAATCCCAAATCTATTGCATTTAGTCTTCACATTACTAGTAAAAGTCAAAGGTGTACGATTATCTCAAGACCTCGTACATCCGATGAGGAAGTTGACATCTCAGATCTTTCCTAAAGTAAAATAAAAATGAAGATATACAAAAGAAAGAGCATATATGTTTGAGAATAACTGTATCTACACTTAATCCTTTGTATGAGAAGAGTCAAAAATATATTCGACTGTCTATCTCACATGAGGCATGGATATCATATAGCCATTTGGGAGGTCAAAATAGCCAAATCTCATCATCATCATCATCATCATCAATGCAACGGTGATCTCCAATCAAAGTTGTTCTTAGGGTAATCTTTCTGTACTTCTTTAGGAGGAATGAAGCAATCCATGGACAAGCCAGGGACGTTGAATGCAAGATCATCAATGGTCCATGTTTCTTCCAACCGCGTGATCGCCGCCCCCGTCTTTAGATTGTCCCCGAACCGTGTGATGATCACATTCGTCTGACCGGCGTGCGCGATCATCACGCCCTCCACCGTTCGATAGTCCTCAATTTTCGTTGACATTGTGGTCTCCCAGTAGGTAGGGTAGGCTCCAGGTGACTGGATCCTGGTTAAGTAAGAGTCCTCTAAGTACACAAGCAGCCCATTTCTTTGGCTGAAGTAGCCAAATATTACATGTTTGATCATCTCTGCTGTGCTATCACTTCGTTCAGTTAGGTCCGTTTGATCAGCTGACAATTTCAAGACAAAGCAGTCAACCCCGGAGATTTGCTTTTCCCCCATGTACTGTGCCGGGGAAAATACAGCTGATATTGCCATTGGATCTAGTCCCTACACCAAAAAAATTACAAAATAAAAAAGATTTAACCGTACAATTTAAACCTGAAATTTGTGGGAATTTTTGTAGCTTTCTCATATAATATATCTGCGGCAGGATCTAATACAAAATAGTGAGACTCACATGCATATAACCAATTACTTATTATAATTTTTCAACCAACTATTGAATACATTAACTTTGTGACCAGGTCAACACATCCAATAGTCTTTGTGTTCGTCAAGAATTGACATAGATGAAAAATGAATTCGTAACATAAAATAATTCAGAAAATTCAGAAGAGAATCCAAAAAATTTCAATAAAACGACTAATCAAAAGATAATTAATTTCACCAATAAAACAACACATCCAATAGTGGTGGATTACCCCTTCTTCCGTGGCACCCAGAATCGATTCCAATGGAGTTTCTTTCCTCCAATGTAATCAAGAAATAATAATAATTAGTTTCCAAATGTCATTTAAACTTGGAGAATGGTGGGAAAACTATATGCAACAAGATCCGGTATTTTGGCTGCTAAGATCACCTAAACATATTATTAAACAATAAATAGAAAAATAAGTAGAAAATAAACAAGGAACAATAATAATTAAATATGGGAAACGTGGTGGTTGTTTATACAAGTTGAAAGGTACATTTGAGCTTAGCTAGCGTGGGTCCATTTTGTTGGGTCGTTTCAGATCTTTGCTTATAATTCTCGCTACGAATCTGTTAGATATGCAAACGTAGAGGTACTTGTCAAAGTTACCCATTATGATGCTTGAGATATTTTCTAAGTGCTTGCCGGTGGTATGTACTTGTACTACTTTCCACCAGTGAATTCGACGTAGGGAGCTTCTATAATGAGGAGATTCAATAGCTAAAACAGTATAATGCACGGATGCATTAGATGTATCACAAAAAAATTCTTTGCCGTTGCCGTACACGGGTAAATATTCCCTGACTAGGTTTATCTTGGCAGTCAAATGTTTATATTGTTAAAAATCTATTTAATTAATGGTTCATATTCACAGTCTGACAACAAATCGTTTACGGCTAGATACTGGCCAACTCTTACTTGACTTGTAGCAACTTATTTCTACTGATTTCAATTAAGGTGACAAGTGCAGAGATAGCGGTACCGATACAAAAGGGTTTATTATTGTCACACACACCAGCCCACCTAACAATTGTACACTGTCACAAGCTCACACCTCAAAACATTAAAAAAGCCATAAAAGATGTCACCAATAAATTTCAATACCGCTGGGGGGATAAGTAGGACAAACAAACAAACAAACAAACAAAACATGCTGAACACTGCAGTACCTAACAAGCAAGCAACATCAAATTTATTGGTTCCTGGTCCCCTGAGACACTGTTTCCCAGTGCAACATTCTTTGGAAGCAAACTAAGATTTTGTTAAATTAATTTTGATCTAACGAAAATATTAATGACACAAATGACATGCTAGCCTTCTAGTAATTGAAAATATACATTAAGATCCAGAGGTTAGAATTTTATTAATGTGTATGTAGATAACTCATTGACAGAAATTAGAACTTGCCTGGAGAGCTCGCCGGAGAGGACGAACACCGCCTTTGGCAGCGTGCACGCCTAGCCACGGCGTGTGGCGCCAAGCGACATTGCCGTCGCTACCAGCTGCTACCTTGTGACCACCCAGAACTAGCTCAATCAGCCACTTATTAGGAACCATCTGCCACATTACAAAGCACCCTTTTTCCGAAAGTGTGGCGGTGCCCGAAGCTGAGGCGCCGCCAGGGCCGGGTTCATCCACCATTGCCATGATCACTTTCCCGGTTGCAAAAATGTTCTTGACTTTGCCTTCCAGCTTGCGGCAACCAGTGGCAGCTGTGAAGTGTTGTATTATGTACTGTGCGGTAGAGGATACCTGCTTGAGAAAATAATTACGAAAGGAAAAAGGAAATTTAGAGGGACAATAAAGACTTTCCCCTGCATGAATTTAGGGTAGACATTTGACAACCTAAATCAACTTTTTTTGTAAGCCAGTTCAAGCACAAGATTAGTTTGAAAGTAAACATACATATAACTAGAGATTAAGTACATAATCATGATTATTTTGAAGGCTGAATCTCATATTTAAAGTGTAAAGCTGCTTCCTTTTTACATGGTGGGACAAGCATGGCAACTTGCCAAAAAGGCTGAGCCAAACACAAAACTAAAAGAAGACCCATAACACCACTTTGCTCTCTTTAGCCAATGGCCAGTCATTATGTTCTCCCAAAGCGAACCTTTTATTTTTATTTTTATACAAGCGGTATTGGAGAAGGGGAATCAAACCTAAACCTCGGGATTAATCGCTTAAACTACAAGACCCTTGCAACCCAATAACTCTTTTTAGGCCAAACAATTCATATTATTTATAACAAAATGGAAGTGTTGTGAAAGTGGTAGTACCTCATTGAGGGGCAGTTTGGGGTGAGCAGAGACAGGGAAAAGAGGGCAACCAAGAACACTGAGAAGAACCTTGAAATCAGACCTCTTGTTGAAGAGCGCAAGGGAGGAGAGGTGGGTTTTGATCCAGTTCCTCCATGTCTGAGTGCTGCGCAGAATGCCTTTGCTTGATCGGTTTGTGGCCTCTTCTTCTTCGTTGATATTGGGCTCTTCTGACAATGGTGCAAGCCTCCCCATGATCTCTAGTTTCTATGCTTCTGTTTTGTGTTGTTTGCTCTGCTCTGCTTTGCTTTGCTTTGCTTTTTAGAGAGAGAGAGAGAGAGAGAGAGAGAGAGAGAGTTTGGTGGAAGCAAAGCATATAATGAAATGAGAGAACTTGGAAAGAAGTACTTGAAAAGAAAGAGAGGCAGAGTTTCCACTTGCAGTTTGGATGCGTGCTGCTCAGTTTTCTCCATAAAGTTCTATTTGTTTTTGTTTTTTGTTTTGTTTTGTTTTGTTTTTGTTACAAGATTTTTCGGTACCCAGCTAAAAGCTTTTGTAATTCTGTTATGTACAAACATTGTAGTGGCTATTTGTAGTGAGAATAATAATTTACCAACTATATATACAAATCTAGATTCTAAATCAGAGGATGAGGATGGCTGCGATTATGCTTCATTGTCAATAAAGGAATTTACAGATTTATTCCTTTCATTATTTTGTAATCATCGGATACCAACTAATCTATCAATATCTTAAAATTAGTAGCTGTGTCAGAAATTTTGTATTGATTTATATTTCATTCAATATTTTGTGATGCTAATTAAGTAACAAAACACAGAGAAACTTCGGTATTACGGGTGAAAAATATTGTTCTCTTTAACTTACTTTTCACTTGACCAGTTAATTGAAAAAAGTAAGATAATAAGAAGAGTACATTACACCCGTGTAGGAAAAAAAATGTATTTCTCCCTAAGACGGTCATAAGCCAGTCCACCTTTAAAGTACTTGAGTCCTTTCATAAGTGGAACCATGATGTTACCTGCTAATCACTTTTGAACAAAAGTAATTATCTATTAAGCTAAAAGTACTACTTCCAATGATGCTGCTAGGCTAGCAAGCTATTGAGAAGCAAATGCAAAGCTTAGGAAATGGCTTGCACGTGGAGTAGACGGTGCCTAGGACATAGCCCACCTCTCCAAACTCATACTTTAATTGGGTTGACATAAAAAAAGCACTCCACATGCAGTTAAGCTTCACACTGGGATCTATCTGCAACAATAAAAATGGGGAAAATAAAAAGAAAAAAAACCAACCGAATTACAAAAATGCATTATTATTTTTATTATTATATGTATGAAGGGAGGAAGATTTGCATGGGCTTTGCGCGTGAGGCATGTCTTTTGTCTTTCTGGTTGGGAATTGGTGTACGGAGGAGGAGAGGAGAGAAGAGAAGGAGGGAGCTTTCAAGGGAAGGGAGGCAAGGCAATGCAAGGTAACGTGTCGAAATCATGGCCTATTTGCAATTATGGCATTTCGGATGGGTTTGGTACAAATTGGGAAGCTCATGTGCCCTTGGTTTAGTGCTTCCGGTAGTTTTGGCAGAGCTATGAATGTATGTATATATTTGGATGGGAAATGATTCTATTTTGGTTTTGGCATGGTTGGGTTGTAAGTGCTCCACCACGTATAAATTAATCAATGATCAAGCCATTAAGATTAGGGTTTCGAATTATCGGTGATATTTCTCTTTTTAATGTTAAATGACATGTTTTTCTTTAGCAAGAGGAGTTGTCTAAGGACTAGGGTGGGCCCCTCTCTTCTTCTTTTTTTTTTCTTTGGTATAAAAAAAAGACTTTTACTTCTACAGTCCTCTTTTATTGAGGAATTTTTGAAATAATTTTATTTGAGGGACACCTTTTATGGTCTTCCTATGATTTCTTTTTTTCAACAATCCAAACCGTCTATTTTTCAAATCTTCGTTCATAGATCATCCTTGTAAAAAATCATGCAAATTGAAAATCACTAAGACATCTAATTGGGACCAACAAAATATATGAACACACTGTTTGAAGAAGATATACTAAAATAGCAACCATCTAATTGAGAGGTCAAATGATTTCATATTCAAGTGATGTTTTGCAGAGATGATTCTTGATGGAATATCTAAAAATTAGACGGTTCAGATTATTAAAATTCAATGTGTAGTGGACTTATTTGAAGGATCCCGCAATTAAAACTCTATGTATATATCATGGAGCTTTTTATATATTTTGTTTAGTTATTTGCTCTTCTCCATATGTTCACACTTCTGTAATCGTTATGATTTTATACCAACTTCTTTTATATGGTCTTTTTTTAAATGATCACATATCAAATAATAATTTGGTCATTTTGATAAGAGTGATTATTGCATTAGGGTGTGGAACCCACATGCAATGCAAGGGGCTTGCAACAGTCCCTATCCAGCCGTTCGAACAAGCCTAGATTTGTCCCATTCTACTAGGAAAGCACGCATGCCCAAAGGCTGCTAGCAACAAGCCCAAGCAACCCACGATGTTCTGCATGCGACTTTCAAGCCTTATCATATGTTGTGGACCCAACCCACCTTCGCCAGAGTCATGGGCTTACAGCATGGGTTATGGTGTGGACAGCAACGAGAAATTATAAGGCTCGTTGTTATTTTTCGATCATTACAAAATCGAGACGAGCGAGTTGTAAAAAGGGCGTGAACTAACTCTTGATTTAGTGATATTCTCGTTCTAATGTTGAAAGGTGTCTCATATATGAACCGTTTATCGCAAAAGCTAAACAAAAAAAATCTAAAGACACAATATAATGCAGGGAGTAGTTAACGAGTCCTAATCTCGTTCATCTATTAGATATGTTAATGGGTGAAGTAATTTTTTATACTGAGATTACAAGTCCTTTCAATTTTTTTCACATTGCACTTTAAAAGTTTGGTCATCCGTTGAATGGATGATGTGGCAAAGTATGCAAGGACGGACCTTTAGTTTGACAAACATAGCTCACCCAAGGACGGACCTTTAGTTTGACAAACTTGGGCTATAGCCTAGGTGGCTTCTTTTTTCCAACCAAAAAAATAAAATCCTAGCTCACCCAATTTAAATAACCTAACCAAAAAAATAAAATCAGCTCACCCAATTTAAATAACCTAACATCATTTAGCGGCTAGGGTTTTTCCAAATTAAAGTGATTTTCTTACATTTGGGTTTTTTTTTTAAAAAAAAAAAAAAAAAAAATTTCAATTTGAAGGGTTTGTGTTGTTTTAATCATGACACATATGAGTATTGACTTCCAACCGGGTATGCATGCAGGAGGCGTGTTGTTTTGATGATTGAAGATGCACAAAAATCTCATGCGGTTTCATATATTTATAAATGAAGTTGCCCTACAAGATCAAGCAATTTTTCATCCCCAGAATGGCCTTCCTTTCCGAGCAAGCAATGATCCATCTAATAAAATACACCAAGTACCAAACCGACTTTGTTTGCCAATAATCTATAATAACAATAAGAAGATTTATGAGGAGAGAATATAGCACTTCTGATCTCTTGCTCGCTCACTATTGACCATTGAAATTTGTGGCCACCAACTGTTTGCTCAAATGAGCGTTAGACTCCCATGGGATACAAAACAACAGAAACCTACCTGATCCAATCTTTTATAGTACTCTCTAGCTAGCTACCATGGCCACACCCTCAAACACCAACTTCAACTCCCATATCTCAGGAAAACAAAGCATTCAGAACCAGAAAGCTTTAGCTGCAGAACAGTTTCCTTGGTGGTTTTCACCAGAAACGGGGATTTACCAAAGCAAACACCTTTCCATTGACCTCCCATCAGACCCTTTTCTTGATGTTGTCTCCTTCATTTTCTCATACCAGCATGATGGGGTTTCCTCAGCTCTCATTGGTTCCTCTTGTGAGTCTGCAATATCTTACTCACAGCTCTACTCCTCTGTCAAGTCCATGGCCTCTGGTCTCCAGCAAATGGGCATCTCACAAGGTGATGTTATTTTGCTTCTTTTGCCAAATTCCATTTACTATCCCATTGTTTTCTTGGGTGTTTTGTACCTTGGTGCTATTGTCACAACCATGAATCCCCTCAGCAGTGTAGCAGAAATCAAGAAACAGATTGCTGAGACCAAAGCATGTCATGCTTTTACTGGACCTGAGAATGCTGATAAATTACAAGCATTGGGCATTCCTGCAATTCTGGTACCAGAAAATGCAATTTCGGGTTTGAAGGAGGGCATTTTTTTGGTTTTTTATAAGCTTATTTATAGTAGGTTTGATTTGGCTCCAAGGCCAGTGATTAAGCAGCAAGACACTGCTGCAATAATGTATTCGTCCGGGACTACTGGTGTGAGCAAAGGTGTTATGCTAACACACAGGAATTTCATAGCCACAGTTGCCCATTTTGTGCGTTTTGAGGCTTCACAGTATGAGGGTTCAAGCTTGGATAATGTGTATTTAGCTGTTCTGCCAATGTTTCATATATACGGGTTGTCACTTTTCGTGATGGGGTTGTTGTCTTTAGGATCTAGAGTTGTTGTGATGAAGAGATTTGATGTCAATGAGGCGATCAGGGCAATTGATAGGTATAAAGTTACGCACTTCCCAGTTGTTCCACCAATATTGACAGCATTGACAACAAGAGCCAAGGATGGCTTGGCCCCTCATAGCCTCAAGAGTTTAAAGCAGGTTTCTTGTGGTGCAGCTCTGTTGAGCATGAAAACCATAGAGGACTTTGTTCAAACCCTTCCTCACATTGATCTCATTCAGGGCTACGGCATGACTGAGACCACCGCGGTAGGAACTCGCGGTTTCAACACCGAAAAGCTTAGGAAACCCTCTTCAATAGGGCTTTTAGCTCCAAACATGCAAGCTAAAGTGGTGGACTGGAACACTGGATCCCCTCTGCCTCCAACAAGTACCGGTGAGCTATGGCTACATGGACCGGGGATTATGAAGGGCTACTTGAACAATGCCAAGGCAACATTGTCAACAATTGATGAAGAGGGCTGGCTACACACTGGAGACATTGTGTTTTTTGATGAAGATGGATACTTACATCTACAAGACCGCTTGAAAGATGCGATCAAATACAAGGGCTTTCAGATTGCTCCTGCAGATTTAGAAGGTGTGCTGATCAACCATCCCGAGATACTTGATGTTGCTGTGGCAGGTGCTATGGATGAAGAAAGTGGAGAGGTGCCTGTGGCTTTTGTGGTG